ATTGAGACTTGAAGTGGAAAAGGCAGCTGCGGTCGAAACAGCTGAAATGTTTGAATCTAAAAGCTGGAAAAAAGGTGGTGCTGAGTGCATCTCATATACATGCTATGTACTTGGCTACTTGCACTCCCCCTTTGAAGCTTTCGAAAGGAGCTTCAATCTTTACAGGTTCCAGCTCAAGCTACCTTAGGTACCATCTAGGCATGAGGTACAAATTGAAAAACGACGGGCTCCCTCAGCACGGCTGCAAGTTACATCGGTATGGGCATACGGCATACGAATGTAATCCCGCCAGAAGTATCGTAGCGCCAGGCCCAGGAATTCTTCCAGTCTGGGCTGATTCATCACGGCACTGATCACACCATCCATGAAACGTCGTTGGTCCAGCTGTTGTCGCGGTCAGAAAATGGCAGTTATATCGCGTATGATACACTGTTCCATAGCGCGTGGTGATCACCTTAACGGGAAGTTCTGGTAATGTCGGCGTTGGGTCTCTGCGTCGCAGAGTTTGAGGTTGAAGAGGTCCGAGACGAGGGTCACCTGGAAGAGCTTGAGTAACCTCCTCTCGTACCAATCGCTCTTCCTGTTCAATCTCTCTTCACTCGGCTTCATAATCTGGCATCGATGCGCCATGTACTCGCAAAGCAGCCAATGCATTTGTGAGGTCAGCGGATTGTGAACTTGTTGGTCTTGGGCTTTCTGGTTCTGGGTCTGGTTGCGGAGCATTCCGATTTGATCTCGGAGCATCATTGAGCTGGTTGCGGAGCGACATGTCCTGGATCTTCTCCTCCCGTGGCAGTGGGACTTTCTTCCACCAAAGGTTCAAGGCGATCTCTTCGAGATGGCTCATTTTCCTCCACAGCATCATCGGCGTGACTTCCAGGTTGAGCTCGAAAAACACACCGTCGTATGACGAATTCGGCTCCCCGTACTGCAACATCCAATATAGACGCTGCGCCACCAGAGTAAGAAAGATAACCAGAAGAGTATAGATCACAATAATTTCAAAAGAAAAGGATCCATCCGCATCAGTTTTTTCTCCTTCTTCTGCTTTCGAAACAGAAAGAGCTGCAGCCAAGGCGATGAGCTGCAGCACTTGCGTTGTTTGCGCAGGCCTTTTCAACTCTTTGTTGGCCAACCGGTCGTCCTTCTTTTCTTCTGTTTCTTTAATCTTTTCTCCTCTTTCTTTCTAAGAAACTGGTCCTTCCATCATAAGCAGGGGCTGCCTTCGTGGTCATCTGCTGAGTCATGTGAATTGCTGGTTGCTGGGGTGCTCTTCTCATTCCATAAGAATCATATTGTTTCCATCCATCTGCATCGACAATGTCGAAGTCATCATCATAGCCATGGCTTGCCATATTGGGCTCTACATGGAGCTCACCTTCAATGAAGGATCACAGCTCCGCTACCACTTGAAGAGAGTCGATAAGCGTCTTCCCAGGCTGCCAGCACGAGTTTTCCTCTGTCGGCCAATAGCCAGTCAGTGCAGCGCCTAGACTACAAGCATTTTTTCCAGATTTGCGGCCCTTTTGGCCACCTTCTCTTTTCCAAATCAATTAGCAGGAGGTTCCAACCTGTCTCTGCTTAAAAAAATCAGAGTTATCATGTGTGTTTGGCACTTCCCCCCTGCTGAGGAGGGCCCAGTGTCACAAGATGGAACCTCTTTCCCTGAGAGGCACCACCTTTTTTTTCAATTGATCACCTCTGTTTTTTTCAGATTTGTAGCCCTTTTTGGCCACGTTTTTCCCACATCAACTGGCAGGAGGTTCCAACCTGTCACTGCTGAAAAAATCATTCCCCCTTGCCGAGGAGGACCCAGTGTTAAAAAATTATACCTTTTCTCTCTCTCTCAAAGGTCCACCCTGCATGGAAATTTGTTTTCAAATCATCAATCATCAAGGTTCTTTGTTTGAAATTGTGCTTTCAAATGGTTCAGTTGTTTTCAAGCTCATTTTCAAGCTCAACAAGCGGGAGGTTCCAACCTGTCACCGCAAAATAATCAAAGTTGTCATGTGTGTTTGGCCCTCTCCCCTGCCGAGGAGGGCCCAGTGTCACTTGGAAAATGAGACCTGCTTCTCTCTCTGAGAGGCCCCACTTGCATGGAAATAAAAAATCATCAAGGTTGTTTGTTTGAAAATGTGTTTTCAAATGGTTCAGTTGTTTTCAAGCTCATTTTCAAGCTCAACAAGCGGGAGGTTCCAACCTGTCACCGCAAAATAATCAAAGTTGTCATGTGTGTTTGGCCCTCTCCCCTGCCGACGAGGGCATTCTTTGTTTGAAAATTTGCTTTGGTTCAGTTGTTTTCAAGTTCAACAACAAAAGTACACATGCGTGATTTAAATGTCCGTCCTGCCCCCACCCGCTGGGTCTGGCATTCATGCAAAACCAAATCAAGTAATGATTTCAAAATCAGCTGGTGCAACCAAAATCAGACCATACTCTCACAATCAAGTCCCAAAAATCATTACTGTTGTTCAGAAAAGAATTGTGGAAATTCATGTCATGATTCCCTTTCTCGCTCAGAACTTCCCTCAAAAAGTGACTATTTCAAAATCCATCATGATTGATTGGTTCATACTTTATGATAAAATTAAAACACCATCATGTCCCCAATCACACACAGCCCATCCCATCAGCCCTGTCCCACCAGCTTACCATCCAAATCCTCCCAGGTTAAAGAACCAGGCATGAGAAACCAGCCTGCCACACAAATAAAGTAAAGTACTAGCCTGCCAATACTTTGAGCCATCAGGACTTGAGCCATCATAACTTGAGCCATGGGCGATGCCCTTAAATATATAACTTATCTTTTCCGTTAAGGCTTGAGCCAGGGCCAAATTATGTACCCCTTCCCATTTTTTCTTCTTTCAGTGCGCGATTGGTCAGTAAAATGTGAGCCAAATCATGGTCAGCATAGATGTCAGAACCGAATTTATGTCATACACTACGGGATTTGAAAAAAAACGGGAAAGCAGCCAAAACAGTGCACATAGGGCACATAATTAACAACAGCAAGTATACTTCTATATCTCTCTCTTGAGCCTTGGCAGCGTATATAAACTGTGCTCAGTACTCACGCTATGCCCTGGTTGGGGGGTTGCTGGAGGGACAGTTTTTCGCGAGTTTTCTAATTTTTTGCGCCCTTTGATCTTCCTTCCTTCTGCTGACTCTTTCTCTTCTCTGACTTCTTCTCTCCTGGCTCTTTCTCTTCTCTGCCTCTTCCCACCTCTGCTGCTTCATCTGTCCATATTGTTGGAGGTTTGACTTCTAAACTCCGTTCGATGAGATATGTATGCCGATGACGCTGTTTGTCTCTGACATCTGAAGCTGGCCCAATGGGGTTATGAAAGTTTATGAGTCTCATGTATATAGACCATTGTTGGATCGTGTTCCTGAACTCTACTACTTCTGGGGCTTGCAGATTCAGACCCATAGGCACGAAAAACAAAACTTTCTGGCTCATTGACTTAGCTTTCTGAGTCATTGACACCGCTGGGCATTCGGCCAGGACATCATGATTCCAAACATTCAATGAAAATCAAATCACGTTGCCAAGCCCTTTTTCCCGAATGCGTAGCAAGGGTTCCAGTTTCACTCCGGGGGTCAAGGGGTTGAGGGTGTGTTCGTTCGACGTTGCCCAACCGCCCGCCATCGTCGGCAACCGTCGCGACAAGGCGCAAATTTGTGGCAGGCGTGGCATTTTGTGAGATGTGATGAAAATTGACGGAAGCCTTGCACGAAACATCGATTTTGATGTTGCCAATTTTCGGGTTCTAAGGAAAACTCGTAGGAAAACTCGTAGGAAAACGTCGATTTTGAAGCTACAAAGTGTGAAATTTGGAGGAAGTCTCGCACGAAATGCTCGTTTTGGTGCTCCCACGTGTCTCGTCTCGAGTCTCTGGTTTTCCTGTGGCCTCATCATGTCTATGGGGGAAGCTGCAAAACCTCTCCTTTTCGAAGGTTTCCAAGCAGGTTGTCATGTCGTTTTGCGTGGCCGGCGTGGCGCTTTGTGACACTCCCACCTGTTTGATAACGTGTCGAAAGTCGTTTTGTCTGGCAGGCGAAGTACTTTTGAGTTGCAGTTTTCATGGCAGGCGCAGCATTTTGGAGATCTCTGTCATCTTTTTCGGTGGCAGGCGCAGCACTTCAGACGTGCCGCATTGTGTGCTCTACACTCCACACTCTACACTTTACACTCCACACTCTACACTTTACACACACCACACTCCACACTTTACATTCACACTCTACACTCTACGCTTTACACCCACTCTACACTTTACGTTCCACACTTTACACTCCACACTCAACACTTTACACTTTACACTCCGCACTTCTCACTCCACACTCTACACTCCACACTGTACACTCCACACTAAACACTCTACACTTTACAATCCACACTCTAGACCTTACACTTTACACTCTGCACTTTGCACTCCACACTCCGCACTCTACACTTTACACTCGGCACTTTACACTCCACACTCTACACATTACAGTTTACACTCTACACTCCACACTCTACACTCCACACTCCGCACTTTACACTCTACACTCCACACTTTACACGTTCACACTTTACACTCCACACTCTACACTCCACACTTAACAATTTACACTTTACAATTTACACTTTACAATTTACACTTTACACTCCACACTTTACACTCCACACTCTACAGTCTACACGCCACACTTTACACTTTACCCTCCACGCTTTACACTCTACACTTTACACTACACAATTTACACTCCACACTTTACACTTTACACTTCGCACTCTACACTCCACACTTTACGGAGGCAGAATCTCATTGAGACTTGCTCTCAAAGCCTCCACCTGGGAAATGGCAGATTCTACCAAGTGCGATGCACAAAAGAAGCCCGCTGCTACAACACCCTTCGCAGAAAACACTATCAAATCTACAAAAGGAGCACGTGAAGCACAGGTGTGACTGTGTTGGTTTTCCGGGCCCTGCCTGTGCTCGTACCCCGGTGTCAAACCAAAACGTCGTGACCTGCTCCAAGAAGTCATCCACATTGTCCACGGTAACTGGAATATTGTCACCATCAGGACACAGGGCAGTTCCACCCAGCCCAGTCTCCAAGTAACTGACGCCCATAAACTTCAAATAGTCGTCAAGAGCCCACTTCTGCTGGCCTGGCACATGCTGTGGAAAATCCACCAATGTACCCAGAACTTCGCCGGCCAACCCATCTCCTGGGTGCGGCAGACTCTTGGCATTCAATTTGTGCCCCAAAAGCAAAGCGAAGAATTCCTCAGTAAGAGGCATAGGAAGGATGCATCCATCCACGAGCGCGTGGCCCATCAACCAGCCCAAGAACTTGAATTGTGCGCAGGCTGCATCACGCAAAGGGCCCTCAGGCAGGGGGCGGATCAGGAGACCTCGGCGACTCAGCATGTAGTGTGAGGAAACTCCATTGTCTTCCACCCGCAGAGGAATTTCACGGTTCGAGTCACAGTCCTGCAAAGCCATGCTCATATCAATGCAAAGGATTGAGGGACAGTACTGTCTTGCGTTGCCAATCCTGTCTTGCGAGCAAATTCCGCGGCAATCTCTGACTGCTTGGGGGCCAAGTCACCCTTGGACTTTTCCAAAGTGCTTTGCGCGCCGAGGCTGTGGGATCTCACCATACTGGCAGCCTAACAGCTAGATAGAAAGAGAGAGACAGGTCAGATAGATGAGTGCGATCGCTCAGATAGATCAAAACCGATCGGGTAGATTAGACAGAGCAAATCTACCAGGGACGCAGATCAATGTAGTGAGAGAGATAGGTAACTAGAGAGATGGGTTGATAGATGGAGAGGTGGATAGATGGGTAGACGGATAGACGGGTAGATGGATCGGTGGATAGATGGATGCATGGATAGATGGGTGGACAGGTAGATAGGTAGGTAGACAGATCAGACAAACAGGCAGACAGGTAGATAGATAGACAGATAGACAGGTAGACACATAGACAGATAGATAGACAGAGGCCTTAGGTGACGACCGCTGGGGATCCCAATTCAACAGCTGGCTCTTGCTTTCTCAAAAACATCAAATCGCCATCCTCAGTCGCTTCTTTTCCTTTCTGGCATGTGAACGATACAGTACAAAGTGGTGCCTTGTCAAAAGAAGCATGGCATCCCATGCCTGTCAGCTTGTGAGTGTCTCAACATTCCCAACTCCCTGTAAAGAGTCTTACACAGATAGATACATAGCTAGATAGATAGATAGATAGACAGATAGAGACATAGCTAGATAGCTAGATGGATGGATAGATAGATAGATAGACAGACAGATAGAGACATAGCTAGATAGCTAGATAGATAGATAGATAGATAACTTACATTCAAGAACTCCTGCTGGGGTCTCACCATTCCCAGCTCCCTTTAAAGAGTCTTGGGCAGAGATACATAGCTAGATAGATAGATAGATAGATAGCTAGCTAGATAGAAAGATACATAGATAGATAACGTACATTAAAGACGTTTCCTATTCGCGTGTAGTTGCGACCATGGCCGCACAGATAGCCTGCTTAAACCAACTTCCACGCATGGCTGCAGATAGAAACAGCACACATACCACAAGTTTCGATTTTCATTGTATTTTACAAGCAAAAAATGCACGTCTCCTATTCGCGTGTAGTTGCGAACTTGCCCGCGTGTACATGCGACCATCTCCCACAAGTCGTTCGCGTGTACATGCGACCTTTGTTTCGCGTGTACATGCGACCCCCCGACCCTTTACACTCCACACTCCACACTTTACACTCCACACTCCGTACTTTACACTCCACACTCCACACTCCACACTCACGCCACACTCCTCTACACTCCACACTCCTTACTTTACACCCCACACTCCACACACCACACTCTACACTTCACTCTCCACACTCCTTACTCCACCACGCTCTACACTTTACACACTCCACACTCCATGCTTTACACTCAAGACTCTACACTTTACACTCCACACTCCTTACTTTACACTCCGCACTCCACACTCCACACTCCACACTCCACACTCCACACTCCACACTTTCCACTCCACACTACACACTCTACACTTTACACTCTACACTTTTCACCAAACACTTTACGCTTTACACTCCTCACTCCACACTTTAGGCTACACACTCCACACTCTACACTTTACACAATCCACACTCTACACTTTACACTCCACAATTTACACTCCGCACTCTAGACCTTACACTTTACACTCCGCACTTTACACTGTACACTTTACACTCCACACTTTACACTCCACACTCTACACTCCTCTCTCCACACTTTACACTCCACACTCCGCACTCTACACTTTACACACTCCACACTCCACACTTAGCACGCCACCTTCTTCCATAGTCCACAGTCTACGGTGCACTGGTAACAGGGGAAAAATGTACAAGACTGTTCAAATAGACTGTTTCAGAAAATTGTTCTGCGTGACTGCACATCCATGTGTTTCGACATCTGTACCATTAACATACGTGTGAGCATTCGGCTTCGTGCGCTGCATCTGGCTTAATGCTGGTGCCGGCTACGAAGCGAACATTTAAAGCAATGATTCCGCGAAGGATCAGTTTGAAGCCAGAACGGCTCGATCTCAAGCGCAGACTGTTCCATGGCCATATGCCGAAGCAAACAGGGTGAGCTTGTCAGCCACATGGCCAGCAAAGTGGATCTCAAACTCAGACTGTTCCATGGCCATAGGCCGAAGCAAACAGTGTGAGCTTGTGAGCCATATGGCCAGACAAGCGGATCTCAAACTCAGACTGTTGCATGGCCAAGGCCGAAGCAAACAGTGTGAGCTTGCAAGCCAAATGGTCAGACAAGCGGATCTCAAACTCAGACTGTTGCATGGCCATAGGCTGAAGCAAACAGTGTGAGCTTGGGAGCCAAATGGCCAGACAAGCGGATCTCAAACTCAATGTCAAACTGTTCCATGGACTCACTCTGAATCCTCTTCCTCTGCCATAGTTGCTTCATCGCTTTGGTTATCATCGTCCTCGTCATCTTGGCCATCATCTCCAGGGCCACGACCACGTCCTTTACCCTTCCCATCTCCACGTCCACGGCCGCGTGTCCGGCCTCGGCATGCTGATGATACACAGTTGTTTGTCCCTGACGATGAGTTTTCTGACCATCACTATGATGTCGCTGGTGAGAGTTACATGTAGCAATAGAAAGGAATCAACACCTGAGTTTTGCTGCAGCGTTAATTGGAAATTGTGCTTTGCAGCACCGGCTGTTCTGACTATCTCGACTGCAAGTCAGCATCTTCATGAATAAGCCAAGGTTTGTTCCATCATCGCCATCATCATCATCATCATCATCATCATCATCATCATCACCGTCGTCATCATCATCATCATCATCACCATCACCATCATCATCATCATCATCTTCATCATCATCTTCATCATCATCATCACCATCATCATCATCGATGCAGCCAATGTAGTCTGGCGGTCAAGTTTGCAGCACTGTGGCAACAAGCACACACTCAGTGCTTTGCAGCACACACTATGCTTTCCAGCACAGACGGTGCTTTGCAGCACACCAGCACACAGCGTGCTTTGCAGCACATGCTGCGCTTTGCAGCACAGTCAGTCATTGCTGTGCAGCAAAAACATCAACTGGTTGACTGCTCGTGCAGAACCATGCCAGGACAATAAGGGCAATGCCGGGAACCTTGGCTGGCAGGCATGGTGTCAATGCATTGCATAGTGTGCTGCAAAGCACAATGTGACACCATGTGGTGCTGCGCACTACAGCTCCGACAGATCTGCATGTCGAGAAGTGCTCTGCGGCAAGCAATTTGATTAGATATGTTTGTCAGTCATTGCAAGATGCTTTCAACAAACTGTCAGTAGCCTCAATGGTGCCATCCAGGAACTCCGATCATGAAGATCTCAATCAATGATGAGGAGGATGATCTTTTGGTCCGACAACAAACAGACAGTCTGCACACAATCAGAGCAGCAGTTCTTTGCAGCACACACAATGCTTCGCAGCAGTGTGACAGTGAATGCTTTGCAGGACACAATGCTTTGCAGCAGCGCGACGGTGAGTGCTTTGCAGCACACACAAGCTTTGCAGCAGTGTGACACTGATTGCTTTGCAGCACACATTCACACAGTGCTTTGCAGCACACACAGTGCATGCTGCTCATGCCAAACAACGCCAGGACACAAACCTTTCGAAATGCGCTCCTGTGGTACCTGTAATGACAGGCATGTTGTCATTGCACCGGAGGGGAGTAAAGCGCTGCGAATACATGTTTGTCACTAGTTTGAGGTAACATGTTTCCAAGATGTCACTACTTTTGTCGGCGCGGAAAACATTGCAGAAGTACTGCAAAGCACGGAGGCAGTCCTGCAAAGCACTAAGGTGGTGCTGTTAGTGCAAGCAAGTGCTTTCACCGAGGCATGCTTTGCAGCATGCCTACCATCCGTAGACAATTTTGCAAGACTCAATGCATCCATGCTTTGCAGCATGCCGACTACCATGCAGTGGATCTCCAAACGAGTGGATCTCCAAACCAGTGGATCTCCAAACCAGTGGATCTCCAACCCAGTGGATCCCGAAAACACTGGATCTCCAAACCATTGAATCTCCAAACACGTGGATCTCCAACCCAGTGGATTCCTAAACCAGCGGGCCAAACCAGTGGATGTCCAAACCCGTGGATCTCCCAGCCTCTTCATGGATCTCCAAACCATTGGATCTCCAAACCAGTGCATCCCCACGCCGTGGATCTCCAATCAAGCCGGAACCGGGTGGATCTCTGTGGCTTTGACAAACCAGTGTATCTCCAAACCAGTGGATCTCCAACCCAGTGGATCCCGAAACCAGCCCATCTCCAAACCAGTGAATCTCCAAACCAGTGGATCTCCCAGCCAGTGGATCTCCAAACCAGTGGATCCCCACGCCGGCATTGGGATCTCCAATCAAGCCAGAACCGGGCGGATCTCCAAACCAGCGGGCCAAACCTGTGGATCTCACAAACCAGTGTATCTCCAAACCAGTGGATCTCCAACCGGAGACGATGGAAACCAGTGGATCTCCAACCCAGTGGATCCCGAAACTATAGTGGATCTCCAAACCAGTGGATCTCCAAACCAATGGATCTCCAAACCAGTGGATCTCCAAACCAGTGGATTTCCAAACCAGTGGATCTCCAAACCAGTGGATCTCCCAGCCAGCGGATCTCCCGTGGATCTCCAATCAAGCCAGAACCGGGTGGATCTCCAAACCAGCGGGCCAAACCTGTGGATCTCACAAGCCAGCGTATCTCCAAACCAATGGATCTCCAACCCAGTGGATCCCGAAAGGGTAGGGGCTTGTCAGAGCGTACTCGGCATGCCGCCGAAACCCACAAAACAAATCAGAGAAAAGAACCGGAAGTGTCACGACGACACGAGCCTAAGCGGATGCAATTCAAAAGGCATCATGAACCTGTTGGACAGTGCCAACTTCCCGCCAAGCGTCAGGGCTCCCGCGGGCGGGTAAAGGTTCACCGTACAAGTCGCGGTCCAAAACACTGATCTGCCTTCTGCATTGCACCTTCCCGGGGCAAGCAGGAATGCAGCAATTACATGCAGGAATTTCCGAGTAGCGGACAAGCCGCCCTTGTCAGCACAGAGCAAAAAACCGGCAACACTCATCATACTCGGTAGGGATCCACAAGACTTCACCTGTACAAAAAAACAAGGCAACGGGGCGCAATCAAGCCTGTACAGCAAACAAATTAATCAAAATTGCGGGATCAAACCACTGTACAAAAGACATGCAAAGTGCTCAGTAGAGCCGAATCACCACAGAGAAATAGAGGTAGGCACTCGGCAGCATTCAGTAAGCACACGAGTCTTGTGGAATTTCCAGCATGTGGACTGCATGATCTCCATCAGGTGGATCGTGAATTGTGCGTTTTGAACGCAGTGCGAGCACTGTCTCACCAACCTCAACGACGTCACCCCCGGCATGCTCGCTGTCGAAGAGGAATGCACCGGTGGTGCTGGTGCCGGGGAACCCAGTGGATCCCGAAACCAGTGGGTCTCCAAACCAGTGGATCTCCAAACCCCCCGTGGATCTCCCAGGTTTTGGCTGGCTGCTTGCCTGCTGCTGCTTGGCGCTCCTTGCGCCTTGGCTGTTCCTTGGCTGCTCCTTGGCTGCCCCTTGTGCTCCTCCCCGCCTGTGGTGGGCTGCTGCTTCGCTTCTGCTTGGCTGCTCGTTGGCTGCTCATTGGCTGCTCGTTGGCTGATGCTGGTTTGCTGCTGGGTTGCTCCTGCAACCTTCTGCTCGTTGGCTGCTCGTTGGCTGCTCGTTGGCTGCTCGTTGGCTGCTCGTTGGCTGCTCCTTGCTCTCCTTGGCTGCTCCCTGCCTGTGCTGCTGGGCTGCTTGCTGCTTGGCTGCTGCTTGGCTGCTCGTTGGCTGCTGCTGGTTTGGCTGCTGCTGGGCTGCTGCTGCTGGGCTGCCGCCGGGCTGCGCTGTCTCCACCTAGCCACGCTCTGCTCAGTTTATCTGAAAAGTTAACCTAAAACATGCTGCAGCGGCTGTCTCTAAACATGCCAGGATGACCTCCTCGAAGATGCTCCAACCTGCAAGACAAGCAAAAACGGCTGAATCTACCTTATTTATAACCCCCCCCCAAAAAAAGACCAAGAATGCCCCAGGCCCAGGTTCAAAAGTGCTGCAATATGATCTGGAAATTAAGGTGTGTGTGTATATATATATATATATATGTATTATATATATATATATGCGTATGTGTGTATTGTGTTTTGGATATATCATGATATATAATGATATAGAATCATATACATATATATATATGTACATTTACATATACCATATATATATATACATACATACATATATATATATGGTGTGTATATACATATGTATATATATATACATATATGTATATATATACATGTATATATATAATATGTATATTTATACATGTATATATATATGTACATATATATATACATATATATATATATACATATATATATATATATATACATATATATATACATATATATATATACACATATATATATATATACATGTATATAATGTTATACATATGTGTGATTATAGATAGCTAAAAACAACGTCAACCGGGCACATGCGGATAGCGTCTCAACAAACACACACACACACACGCGCATGCTACATAAATATGTATGTGTTGTATTGTAGACAATGATTTACAAACTCACTATTTCTGCCAAGGTTCGTTATCCCTGGATTCTTTCTGCCATTGCCGATGCTTCTCATCTGCCTTCACATGGTAGCAGCGGTTGAAACTGCTTGACTGCATTATCTTGGCCATCCCTGAGGCCAATGAAAGATGTGAGAGATGGTCAGACACCAACATGTGTACCTGAGATATGCATCATAATTAATCATATGAATCTGTAGACGGAAAAACAGAAAAAATGTCTTTAAGATATGTAGGAAAAGGATGGTGACAGGTATGTTAAAGACAGGTAAGTAGATTACCAAATCTTTTTTTGAACAAAAAAAGAGTCTCAAGGCTCCCATGATCACCCCAAGACAGAGCCTCGGAGGCTGCCTGAAGTTTGGACCAAAGGGTTGGAGACAGGAAAGGCCTCACATGCCTCTCCTGGGCGAAAGGGCCATGGCGATGAAAGCAGGTCTTGGAGTTCCAGAACCATCACCATAGGTGACCTAGATTACAAACATTTACAAACTATAAATCCTTGAGAAGAAGAACATGTATGAACATGTTGTATAAAACTCAGTCCTGTCGAAAAAACCGCTCCCCTGATACTGCATGATAGGTTGTCTCCAGGACCATCCAAGGTAAAATAATCATAACCTGATAGAGGTAGTAAAAACAAGGCTTTCAGGTTGTAGGCGATGTTCATTGAACAAATTCATTTGGTCATTTGGTCATGAGTCATGTCGAAAAATGGTCGAAGGATGTCACAGGTCAAGTGTCCTCCATAAAACCTTTGCAATCCATGGGCATAGGGCTACCTCAGTTCCCGTGCTCACCGAGTGTGGTGGCAAGGGACCTATGGTCATCGAAAAATGGCCGGCAGGTTTGGGTTCTTTCATGCAAAGCTCCAACCGGGTGATCTCAAAGTTTGCCCTTCATGTGCACGTTCGGCAAACGCTTCCGGCTTGCATGAGGAACATCTTTAAAGCTATTCTACTTGTTAGTCTCACAACATAGACAGCTTGTTGGGTAAACAAGAACATCGGTGACATGATATCCAAGTATACAGAGGCGATGTACCTACTTAGCAAACACCAAGGTATGAGCAACATTGAGCAACTATTTGTGCACTGTAAGCCACACTGAACTGATTGGAATATGGGGCAAGTCACCAAGTACCCCAAGAAAAGGAATGTTGACTACTGAAAATGGCGCGGGCAACTGTGTTTTTTTTTTCAGCCCTTGAATTTGGTCCCCTGCCCAATCTTGATTGGTCTCAGCCACAAATGCGAAGTGAAAGTCTCATATGGCTATGTTGATGCTGTTTGGCTCATGAGAAGATCGCATTTGGATACCCCATTACAACATATGGGGGGTTCCTGAAATAGGGCTACCCCCCCAAATCATCAATTTTCATTGTATTTTCCATGACATAAACCATCCATTTATGGAAACCCCCATATTACAACCAAGCTGCAGGGACATCTCAGACAATGTCCAAACGCACGGCGTTCCATGAGACGCCGATCACTGCCATCGTCGTGGTCCAACTCATTTTCCACGTACCTGAGCGAGTTCTGGCGCAAGTTCCAAAGTGATTGAATTCCTATTGGATTATATGGTTTCCATAAAATTGGGGTACCCCAAAATTGATCAAAGTGGATGGTTTTTTTCATGTACAATCCTATGAAAACATGCATGATTTAGGGGTAGCCCTATTTTGGGAAACCCCCAATATGAGTAATGTGGGTAAAACAATGCCATAAACCACCCATGACTGGGAATGGTTTATACTTATACCACCTAAAAATGCTGATGACTGGGGGATGGTTTATGGCAATGTTTTACCCACATTAGTTCCTATTAAATTATATTAGTAGTATAAATTAGTGACTCTTACGTATAATTACGCATAAAGATACTATGTTTTAACTTACAGGAATGGGATCATATACTATTGTTCCGTCATCACAGATAAATATCATCTCCAAAATCGACTGGTTTCATGTGTTTCATCACATTCCCCATTCACGATCGTTCAATCGATTCAATGGCCATGATGGACAAGAATTACCCCATTTTCAGACCCATCTACCACGGGATCCCCGGATATCCGCCATCCAAGTGACATGGGAATGCAATCCTGGCACAGGAAATGCACCACCTTTTCTGCAGCACCTGGTGGTGACTCATTGGAAGAGCCTGGCGCTCCAGTCTCGCTGGAAACGCAGCTGGCACCGCCCTTCTTCTCCTCCAAACAGACCACGCAACGACCTGTGATGCCCATTTGCCTCAGGGAACATCTGCAGGTGAATATGGTGAATTTTAAGAAATGACATCCAAAAATTGTCTAAACATGTCGAAAATATGTCGAAACGGGGCGCTGAAGGAGTTCAAGATGACCTGTACTTGGAGGAGACTCATTGATTCTTCGCCAAAGGAAACAGGATTCACAGACTGCACAGAAACTCATCCCACCCGTTTATACTACAAGTAGACATCTAAAAGATAGGATGAGCCAACACATTCACATACATCGAGAATATAGAATCACCATCGCAACAACTCGCTTTGTGATAACTGTCATGGACTCTTCATGAAGTTTGCATGTGGTTCGAAAGTGTAACAGCACAAGAAAAGACTAGGACTAGAAAGCAACCAAGGTGCCTCTCGTGATCAACAGTCACCCGGCGATTTTCTTCTACTTCAGCGGTTCGTAACGATTCCTTTGCAAACATGTTCATGCAAACATCATCCCATGACATGACAAACCTTGAGGCAACAATCATTCAAAATTCGCCACTAAACAAAACCCAGCTCAAAACCAAAAATAACAGTTAGCAGCGCCAATCTACAGGGTCTGTGGGCACAACGTTTTCCGACAATTTCTTTTACGCGGCCTTTTGTAATCAAGTTGGTTCACCATCAAAATTCCAGACCTGCAGATCCACAATTGACATGTGTTTCTTTCACAGAACATGATTTTTTGTAGATACCATGGGGCAACCAAATTCGATCCACGTCTTTGTGTGATAACTTACATTCATTCCTTGTTGTTCCTGCACAAAAATCATGTGAATGAGGGGACTGCAGTGGTTCAGGATGCAGGATGGTGGTGGTACAAAAATTGAGAGAATGGCAGCAAGGAACTGACCAGAACAGTCAACAATCGTAGACAGTCATCACAAAAAAAAAAATGTCATCCGACATCTCAAGATATTTATTCCACTTATTAGCCTCAACAAACATGCCAGTCGCAAAACTCTCTGAGCACTCCAAACCAAGCACCAAACGTTTCCAAAATCACCACAGTGAACAATAGTGAACATGACTATCATGACTCAGCAGTGTGTGTTTTCCCTTTCAAACGCCTTTTTTTTTCATGTAGTTAGATCATCAGATCCCATTCTATTCCCACTGTAATCCCATTATATTATCCAAATTATACATACCCTCTGGTAATTTAACATAGCTATGGAAAATCACAATTTTTCATGGGGAAACTCACTATAAATGGCCATTTTCAATAGCTATGTTAGTTTACCAAGGCTCCTCCAGGGCACGCATGAGATCAGGATCTTCGGAGTCGCTCCCACTGTCGATATCGGGCCATCCACCTTTGGTCAGACGACTTCTGTTACGTTTCAACACCCGAAACAAACAAACTCTAAAAATCTCTATATATACAATATGTACATATGTATATATTATATATAAATACTATACACATATATACAATATGTATATTTATATATATATTCTATATATATATACTATATACAATGTGTATAAAATATATATATATATACTATACATATACTATGTATATACTATGTATATACTATGTATATACTTTACATATACTATGCATATACTATACATATACTATACATATACTATATATATATATAGAGACTATATATATATTATATATACTATATATACTATATATACTATATATACTATATATACTATATATACTATATATAATATATATACTATATATACTATATATACTATATATATACTACATATACTATATATATACTATATATACTATATATATATACTATATATACTATATACTCTATATACTCTATATATATACTATATATACTATATATACTATATATACTATATATACTATATATACTATATATACTATATATACTATATATACTATATATATTATATATACTATATATACTATATATACTATATATACTATATATACTATATATACTAGATATACTAGATATATATATTTTATATATATACTATATATATACTATATATATACTATATATATATACTATATATATACTATATAAATACTATATATATACTATATATATATACTATATAGATACTATATATATACTATATATACTATATATACTATATATACTATATATACTATATATATACTATATATATACTATATATATACTATATATATACTTTATATGTACTATATATACGTACTATATATATACTATATATATACTGTATATATACTATATACTATATATATACTATATATACTATATACTATATATATACTATATATATATTATATATATATACTATATATATATATATACACTAAACAAATACTATGTTTATATACTATATATTTACTATGTATATACTATATATATTATATATATACTATATATGCAATATATAAATATATATTCTACTATATATATATACACTATATATATACTATACATACTGTATATATATACTATATATATATATTATATATACTATATATATATAAACTATATATATATACTATATATATACTTTATATATACTATATATATATACTATTTATATACTATATATATACTATGCATAATGTATATACTATACGTATATACATATATATACACTATATATTTACACTATATATACTATATATAGTGTATATATTTACTATATATATATATATACTTTATCTATACTAGATATATATATATATATATATACGCTATATAGAGTAATACATTGTCATGGTGGACGCGCAAAGAATTACCTTTTTTGAGACCACACTTATCTACATTGTTTTTGAAGTCCTTGAAAGGGTGCCACATATTCATATTATATATATAATATATACGTATCCTTGAAATCTTGAATCTATTTTGCGGCAGTATTCTCAATATCCTAGTGGTGCAATATCTGAGTAGAAGTAGAAGTCTTGCAAGAATATCATAGGTTTCATAATCCGACATGTCAACTTTAACAATCCGACTCTTGTGCAAGTATACACAGATATATATATATATATATATATGTCAATGTATACACACACACATATATATATATAGATATGTATAATGATATAATAATTGCACTTACGTTTGATGTTGGTGCCGGAAAATGGTCAGAACCGTCCCTCGATTGCTGGGGTGATCCAGTGATTGAGTGTCAGCTTATCACAAATATATCATTGGCCACACCTCGGAATCGCAAATGCCGCCGTGCCAGTTGCGCGATGGGTAGATTCCAATGTTGTTCCTGAGCTCCAATCGTTGGTTGGGCTCGATTCCCATGCCGGATTTGATCCAATCTCCATAAAAGTAGTTAGTACATCTGTAAACACAACCATAAAACAAACAGATTCAAAAATGAAATTGATCAAAAATACAGGTGATTCCTGCACAGTGCCTGAAGTTCATGAGCGAGGATTGATTCATTTGGCAGCGGTCTTCCACGGCAGTTCTTACTGTGCATAGAATCAGGTGTTTCACGGCCTTCTCTAAACCCAAAACAACCCTAAATCAGACCCACTGATCCCATATGTTTGCCAAGCCACCATGGTCAAAATGTCCCATGGATCACGTCCTGTCCGGTCAGGATCCAACCAGGCGGGCCCGCGTGGTCGATCCAAGGGGGCCAAGGGGTCAAACCAGGTAGCGCCCGGTGGCCACTCAATGATCCTGGGAATCTCCAGGTGCTCAGGCTCTGCGTTCCAGTTCGGGCGAGGAGAAACTGAGCGATCTGGTTCCAGAAACCTGAAGATTCCACTGGATCTGGAGATGCTGGAGACATGGGGTAGAAAAAATTACCTACCAAAGTTTAAGTCCTGTTTACTTCATAGCCGTAATTTGATGTAATTTGATGTAATTTTGACATTAATTATCAAACCATGCAGAGGAATAAGTTGACCCATGGACATTGAAACAGTTCACTTTTTGCCTGGCCCCCTGGAATTGTTTTGCGGTACGGTATATCCATGTGTGCGGCTGTCAAAACTCCTTGTTCATGAAAAGGACATCAACATAATTTGGAAAGGCCCCATCGCTAACCACTGTCGTAGCAATTCTACCATCATTGCGCAATATTGATTTACGGGCAGGATTGAGGGTTGTCCCGGAATGGTTGTATGAACGTCAGTGGGAGGCTCATTTCTCTGCGCAGGCGCAATGTTTTATGACTCTGGTACATCTGTGGGTTAGCATGGTCTAAGACGAATTTTTGGAAAAATCAGTCAGAAAAGTGAACCCTCCGCGGACTTCACGCGTTTCGGCCATTTCCACTTTTTCATTTTTTTATTTTTTTGGCGAGTCCAGATTTTATAACTTATGTAAACCCTAAATGAAACCCCTGATAGAAGTACGCGTATATGTTCCATGGGGCCGGGGGATTTTGTAACTTATGTAAACCCTACATGAAACCCCCAATAGAAGTATGCGTAGGAAGTCACTGTTGTTGTGATGGAGCAACATCGAGCAAAAGAATTATTTGATGATCTTTTGTAAATGAAATGAGGGATTTTGCAATGTGCTCCAGTATCAGCACCATCTTTTCAGCGGTGTTCCATCCTGAAACATCTCTGATGAATTTCAAACCTTGTGGCAAACTGCCTGGAATGTCATTCGCTTTGAATGTCCGCTTGTTTAACAACACGAATTGCGGCAGCAATGCTTGAACTTGAGGCAGCTGACTGATTGCAGCCACATGCGTCGCAGTGCCACGTTTCAAACTGCGATTGATAAAGCGAGCAGGAGGTCGGCCCAACTTGCTTTTTTTTGGTCACATATCCCTTGGAACGTAGTGCGCAACGATGGATGGATGTCTCATCAATGTTGACCAGACAAATCTCTTTGCCATCATGATGCGCTTGCTGGCACAAATAATCGAACCATTGCCAAAAAGTTTGAACCTGAAAGGAGATTCAAAACGAATCTGGACTCCAATTTGAACTCAGTCAAAACACTATCAATTTTTGGCTTCAAACATTGTCTCTCAATTCTCCTGGAGGCATAAACTCGCGTTCCATCATCTGACCATGTCTAACTTGCCATCTCTTTTCAAATCTGCTGCACCACTTCCGCATGGTATTCACAACCCTGATGCCTCTCCCCCAGCCTTGTTTTCCACTGGAAAATCTTCTCCCACCGTCAGAACGTCCTCTTCGTAATATTTATCTTCGTTTCTCTTCAGCTGATGGAAGTATTGTTGAACAAGCTCCAGGGAAGATACTGCTCGTCCCTTCTCAATGTTTTCCTTCTCCAGCCAAACACAGGTCTGCATCTCGGTGACGAACTGTTGTGCTTCTCGATATATCAAAGCGTTTTGCTTAGACAGCGGATGCAGGGCAATCTCTTCCAGAACATTGATAGGAACATTCAAGAACCAGTCGCGAATAGGAGAACAACGATAATCATCCTCAGCTTTCTCGTCGTATCCAAATGACCTTTTGCGATGCTTTCTCAACAGGTACTGCATGACTGTTTCATCAGAGTAATTTGATTGCACATAGATAGACACTGCAACGAGACGAGATCTTGCTGTAGAATTCCAAGCACATTTGTTTTTCTTTGAAGCTTGATAAAGCCTTTGTCTTAGTTTGTTGATCATGTGGTCGAGTTGCCGAATCTCCTGCAGGCCAAGTAATCAAAGGAAGTTGGGAAGCAATACTTCCGAGTTACGAATGACTTTTACTTGATGGAATTGACTATGATGAAGGGTGGTGCGCGAGTGAGACTTGACCTCGATGAAGGGTGGTGTGAGACTTTACACTACATAACAATACATCAGAAAAGAACTGACTTTGATGAAGGGTGGTGTGAGACTTTACACTACATAACAATACATCAGGAAAGAACTGACCTTGATGAAGGGTGGCGTGAGACTTTGGACTACATAACAATACATCAGAAAAGAACTGACTTTGATGAAGGGTGGTGTGAGACTTTACACTACATAACCATACATCAGGAAAGAACTGACCTTGATGAAGGGTGGTGTGAGACTTTGCACTACATAACAATACGGCTGGGGTCGTTTGGTTCCTTCTATGTGTTTTGCAACAATGCTTGTTCCTGTGTGCGTGGTTCTATGCGTTTCTTGAAGCTGTGGTGCCAGATCGCATTGGAATGGCTGCATGATGGTGCATGCCGTGTGTTGTGGGGAGGAAGCCGGAGCTCGAAACCTTGTGTTTTTCCGTGTAAAGTGGCTGCAGCCGGCGATGAAAGGTACCTCGTCTGTGCGGCGGTTGCGGCTAGGGTCGTTTCTGTCGCGAATTGTTCCTCCTATGTGGTTTGCAACGAGTGGTTGTTCCTGTGTGCGTAGTTCTATGCGTTTCTTGAAGCTGTGGTGGCAGATCGCATTGGAATGGCTGCATGATTGTTGTCATTTGGTGTTGCCACGTCCGTAGATAGGTGCAGGTTTGCTACGGGATGCCCCGAAACGCAGTGTAATGGCTGCATGAATGTTGCATGGGCTATGTTTTGGGGAGGAAGCCGGAGCACGAAACAGTGTGTTTTTTCGTGTAAAGTGGCTGCAGCCGGCAATGAAAGGTACCTCGTCTGTGCGGCGGTTGCGGCTGGGGTCGTTCCGGACGCGATTGGTTCCTTCTATGTGTTTTGCAACAAGTGGTTGTTCCTGTGTGCGTAGTTCTATGCGTTTCTTGAAGCTGTGGTGGCAGATCGCATTGGAATGGCTGCATGAATGTTGCATGGGCTATGTTTTGGGGAGGAAGCCGGAGCACGAAACCGTGTTTTTTTCGTGTAAAGTGGCTGCAGCCGGCGATGAAAGGTACCTCGTCTGTGCGGCGGTTGCGGCTGGGGTCGTTCCCGACGCGATTGGTTCCTTCTATGTGTTTTGCAACGAGTGGTTGTTCCTGTGTGCGGAGTTCCATGCGTTTCTTGAAGCTGTGGTGGCAGATCGCATTGGAATGGCTGCATGATGTTGCATGTGCTGCTTCAGTCTCCGGAGCTAAGCGCAAGTATTTAATTTTCACCTGCTTGCCAATGACATGGAATGATGAGGAATATTGATCATTGAGAAAACATGATTGCAAAATGGAATTTTAAAATGAAATTTCAGTACGACTCCTCCCCCCTCAAATTCCATTTTTAAGAGGGTAGGGATATAATATATATATATATAATATATAAATAAGTTCACTTTCTTTGCAATGGGGGTCGGCCCCCCCCCCGCGGGAGCGCTCGCAAAATTTTTGGCAGACCTCCTGAATGCTAAACCCTAAACTCTGATTAGAAACTTCGAACTATCAACAAACTCACGTTCCAGCTATGGTATCGCTAAAACCGACCCGCTTTCTTTGCAGAATCAGGCGGGTGCATTATCATTTGCTTGGAAAACTATTCCTTTCCTTTTCTCTTCCTTTTCCTTTCCCTTTTCTGTTCTTTTCCTTTTCCTTCCCCTTTTTCTGTCCTTTTCCTTTCGTTTCCTTTTTTTGTTTTTCTGTCTCTTTCCTTTTCCTTTCTTTTCTCTTTCCTTTTCCTTTTCTTTCTCTTTCCTTTGCCTTTCTCTTTCCTTTTCCTTTCTGTTTCCTCTTCCTTTTCCTTTCCTGTTTCTTTTTCTGTTCCTGTCCTTTTCCTTTTCTTTTTCTTTTCTTTTCCTTTCCGTGTCCTTTTCCTTTCCTTTTCTTTCAACCCTGAGCCCAAGTCTATCACCGATGCGAGCACTTGACGAAATCAACACTCATGAAATAAAATTATTAACTATTGAATTCAACATGGGGTATCGCTATTTGGAAAGGTCCCATCGCTAACCTCAATTTTTTGCACTTTCTGAAAAAAACAATGTCCAGCCATACATATCTTAGTATCCGCGAGTTTTGACGCTTGCTCATGTATTTCCATCAATCACCCCCCATTGCTTTTTGAGAGCGGGGGACCGCGGGGAAAAACTGGGGGCATCATGGTGTATCTACACTTATTGTAATATCATACATCCATTTATATGGTTTGTTAGCGGGTCTACCACTCAGGCTTCCAAGTTGGGATCACTATGACCAAACCACAATCATCAACAGACACTTCACAGTTCATGTGAGCCATGAAAGATATGTCTATCCCAACTCATGTCTTGATACTGATTAATTAATAGGTATCCCTATATTATGGGTTGTACTTATCCCCAATGAGCATCTGGTTTAACCCATTGACCCATCAACCGGGGGTATTTTCAATGGCTTGGTCGGTCCTGGCCTGCCATCTGGGGCCAATCTGCCATCTCGAGCGCCTCCCCAAGCATGAGGCCAAGGATCCTGCTGTCGATTGTGTAGTCGACGTCGGGTCCATGGACCAGGTGCTCGGGTGGGTGCCTCCTGAGGGCCGGAACGAAATTGAGATCCAAGTGACATACCATGACGTACCATGACATCCCCAATTCCAATGGATGGACAGTCGTCATTTTCCTTTTGGAATAGCAATGTTTGCTGATTTTTGGTTGTGTTGTAATTACAGTAGCCCATTTTCAGACACACCCATTTCCGCTTGACCAGTTGTAGCAGCCACTCTTCAGGACAAGTGTCAGCCCAAGGGTCAGCATAGTCACCCCAAGGGTCGGCAGGGGCACCCCAAGGGTCGGCAGGACGCCAATCAAGCCACCCTTCTCGCTGAGGAACTGCGGGTGTGCTCTCCTCCCATGGATCTCTCGCATCTCTCGGATCTCTCCAACCCTCTCGTGGCCTTCGCCAGGTACCGTTGGGAGCACTGGCCTCACTCCACGGGTCTTGTTCCAGCCATGGGTCATTCCAAGAGTTCTGGACATCTGTGGTGCCTCGCGCCCGCCCTCGCCACCAGTCCTGTCGCCCTACCGCCCATTCCGCCCATGGATCCTCCATACTCTGCCATGGGTCCTCTGGTGGTTGCTCTGTCCTGATGGTGTCCACGGGTCGCATAATTTCTGGACAAACCCAGCCATTGTACAGCCAGTGCTGTTGGCAATGTCCGCAATGGCAAAGCCAGACGGGCTGTTCACTCATCATTTGGCGCCCTGGTTCCACGGAAAAAATGCCCGGTGATCTATGCGAGCCAGGAGCGGGCAGCATGACACAAAATGCCGTGTCAATCGTTGTGGAGTGAGTGCTCTTGACACAAGAAATGGTCCTGTTTCCAAAACATTACCACTATTGCGGAATGAAACAGAAAACGAAACAACCGGGTGAAAGTATGTGAAAGTGGAACGTTTTTTTGATGTTTTTGTTTGCTAGGTTTTGTAGGGGACTCTTTGACGAATTTTGTGGGAACAATCTCTACATATCTCTACCAACCAATACCAATCAGCAGTTTGGCAATCCACAAGCAATCTGCTCTGGGCTTCAGAACGGTTCCATCTGCCTGCTTTGGGCGCTTCTTTGGCCTGTTATGTGGAGGATTGTCTGATCCAAAAGGCACCCTCAAAATGGGTATGTTTCTGTTTGCTCCTGTTTCATGTAGGATCAAACATGATCAAAACCAACAAATGGAACATGCTCGTTATTCAGACATCCCAAGTACAGGGCTTTTTCGCACAAAAACGATCCCTGGTCAAATGCGGAGATGGTTTTTTTCAGCTTCCCTGAAAGGTGCCGATGCACAAAAATCAGTCCTTTCCATATGATCTGTCACTTATGTTACCCTCTGGTAAACTAACATGTTTAATGGGTAAATCAACTATAAATGAATATAAATGATTCCATTAAAGTTCGATTCAATGAAAATGAATCATGATCAATATATAGCTGCCCCACTGGTCCCAGCAATCATTGGTCCATCGTTCAGTCATAGACCGGCCTCAGGCTCTCCCACACTACGACGCCATCGAGACCTCGAAAAGGCCAACATCTGGGAATAGTTGGGTGGGGGTTCCATCAGGCCACATCCCCCAAAACCAAGAGCAACATCAAGCATAAATATGGTGCTGGAAGTACCGATGAACAAGACGGTAAAGTAAAGGAATACCAAAGGCTCGCGGTTGCTCTCCATGTTTCGGCCAGAAAATCGGCCAACTAGAGACAGAATCTGATAGGCCTGGACTGCAATAGTAAGAGTGGTGGTAGCTAACGGGCCTTGCGTTTGAAGGGAAAATTCATGTCTCTGGCAATCTTAAATATAACTCCAGAAGTATCAATGATCATTTTTGGAAAATATGAGCCTTGAATCACCACGACACGCACAGATCTCGGCCTTACACTGGATGATAGGCCTCATTAAGTCTCATTTGGTTGCTGAAGACCCACATCTTCTCTTCTCTTATCAGTCAAAAATGGTCAACAGTGAAGATACAAGGACCCGGTCCAACATATTGGTCGAGTTTGCGCATTATATCAAAATAAACTGTGCCAGTTTGGGATACCCAATGTTGCCCTGCACCCATAAGATCTACTGAATCTACTGATCTTGGAACCCAGCTTTTTGCCAGGATCCATGCTGGTTCGTGGATGTCAATGGATGTCTTAATGTTCTCAGGTTTTTCACTGTTCATAATGTTAGGAGTTATATGATATATATTGTATATATATATACATACAATATAAGTTATACAATCATATAATCATATGTAACATAATCATACATAATCCATAGATATCCGCAGTGTTTTTCTCAGAAGCTGTGCATGCTGGACATGAATTGCACAAGACGTGATACCTGATCAGCTTGTCTGAAACAAACGGAGACGTGGTGCTCTGCTAGATTTGCTTGCTCAAATTTGGCAGTTTGGCTCTGAGCAACAAGGAGGCCTTCAGGACGGATTTGATCGAAGACAGCAAGCTGAAGGAACTTTCAATCACAGCTTGATGCTTTAGTGAAACAGCTTCGTCCCTTCTCACTCATACTCAACGCCCAATCACAACTTGCGGGGACCCGTGCCCTGTGTTCAACTGTTCGATCTATTGGGGAGGTCTATGATTGGGCATTTTTATTAACGTCATCCTACCAACCTTCTGGAATAAATGTTGCTGACCTAGTGATATTGAGCAGCTACATATGCTACCTTGCAAAAAAAAAGGAAAAAGTGAGCACTTTCTCACCACGCAAACCATGGCGTGGCGCATTGGCCAAGACCTGCATGAATGCCTCTGAACTCCAGCGTAGCGTGTTGGTGGCACCGAAAGCTGCTGTCGACTGCTCAATCTCCCTGGAAAGAATATGCCAAAGCACCTGGGGTGACAACTTGAATCAGGCCTCCAAGCTATTGCCAGAGGGAAAGCTGGACTAAATCACAGGATCGATTCCAGGAAGCATGGAATACTATGGTATATAATTATATAATGTATATACAGTGTATATATATATATATATGTCTGCGCAAGATGGCAAGATGTTCAGAACACTCATAAGATCTAATAAGCACCATGAAGCTGACAGGCCAGGGAAGCAAAATAAGTCACCGAAACCAACAGTGCTGAAACTCCAAGAAAGCAGAGAGAGACGCGAAGAGAGGGAAAAAAAAAGTAAGAAACAGAACCAGCAATCTGGATCATCTTGGTTCATGATCTTTGATGCAGTTGAATACCATGGTGACTTGTTCAGTCCCTACTGGTGACAGTCTTCTCCGACATGAACAGGATGAAGATGCGACCAGGCAACACTGCTGTAAGGAGGCACAATTTCAAGTCCAAATCACTCGAACTAAAACAGGAACAGAAGAGTGTTTCAACATGCAAAGGAAGTCCAAAAACCTGCAAAGCCTTCTAGAGAATTCTCCAGCAGAATGGGTCATTTTTTTGACGCTTGAACCCTTGCCAAGCCTTTAGGATGAACGCTTGAAGGGCAACCAAAGCCTTGAAAGCTTCGAACAAGTACCCCATTTCGTTCAAGAGCCCACCTCATATCCAGATTCGGCAGGCCAGCGTTTCAGGGTCATGCTGGCAAAATGTTTTGGATTGTTTTGGACAATAGAAAAGCTCTGAAACTTGCAAAGTTTTGCGATTTCAAATCCTGTTCTTGCAACAAACAACAACTCCGATACTTCAGTCCCCATGAAAAGCCCACCATTCCGTTCAATGTCCATGTCACTGTTAACCCCAGCACCGCACCAGCGACGAGGCGGAGAAAACATCAACCAAGGCTCTCATGACAGACTTCAGAATCTCCATCTGCCCCTTCCGTTTCATCAGCTGCACACTTTGTGCCAAACGCTTTGGGCAGCCCCAGGGTCGACAAAGCAAAGACAGCAGCCATAGAATCAGCTGATGAAAAGTGACCATCCTCAAATTCAAGCCAACAGGCTGTGATGATGACACATCAAACATGCATTATGTCTGCCCGGTGGGTTCCCAGTTGAGGCAGACTCGAACGCTTCTCCTATATCTATGCTACTGGTAGGCTAGGATGATAGAGTCACTGCTAGAAAAAGCTGCTCCACCAGCAGTACCTCTTCGCAAGTAAAAAAACGAATAATGGAAACATCTCGCAACCAAGCTGTCTTCCGTTTGAGCTAGATTTATCTGTAAGGACTCCCCATGTTGAGCCCACTCCTGCCGCCATGCAGCCGACAGGTCCAAAGCCGATACATCTGACCTGCTTCGGCTGCACAGGGAAGAGATCGCGCTTGCCGCCAGCACAGCAGGAAGTGCTGCCGAAGTTCTTCAGATAGATCGTGCTGCTCCAGGGGTGCCAAGGATAACTCAGAAAACGGATGGAAAACTCAGGGATCCAGGAAAGTAACGATGGCCATGCGATGCCATGGGCAGTGAGTAGACAAAGGTTTGGAATTTGCACAATGGCAGGACAGTGGTCACCCTAAATTCCCATTGGAGGGGGATGGATATGCACCCATGTGACGACAAACACACAAGTATCACAGCTGATTGGAGTGTTCTGAAATGAGTTGTTCGAATGTTTCAGGTAGCCCAGTACTGATTCATCCTGCGGAAATTCCACTAGCTTTGACAAATAACCACTAGAATCCACAAAGAAATGGGCAGGTCTTCCCACAAAATGGGATAGCCCAAACACTCCCCAAAGGGTTTCAGCTGCCAAGCGACAAAGCGTTGGAAGTCTGCCTCGGCCAGGCTCTGCCATTGCTGAGTCAGCAATGCTTTAGGCCTTGGTTGATCTTCCCATACGTTCCCCATCAAAAATGTCATTTTGGCGTATACTTGAACGTGCATTTCCAGTTTTAATTGAATCCATCACCATAGGGGTCATATTCTCCCAACTTACGGGGATGAATCCCATGGTTAAAAAGCTTACAGATCTATGAATTAATAACCCCAACTGCAGCAAGTACCCCATGAAAAACCTCATATTTCCATCTGTTTCTGAACAAATCCACAGCCAGTGCTGAAATCCCAGGCACATCGCGCCAGGTGCTGCGGCCCACTGGGCCAAAGCTTCGGGGCTCCAGGCGCCAGCTCGGTCGAACCATGCGTCCAGCAGATCAGCTCGCAGCCGGGGAAAAGGCTGCAACAGCAGCGCCACGGCAGGCTGGCAGAATCGCGCAGAGCGTAACTCTTGCCGCAGGGAAGTCAGTTGCGTCAGTGGCATCAAGCTGTCCTGTCCAGCTGCAAACATCCAAAACATCCATGGTAAGTTAGCAGCATTTCATTGGTCTGGAAGGAAATTGCATAGAAAATCAGTGAAAATCATAGAAATGCAAAAAACTCTAGATGGAAAGATTGACACTTACCATACGCGAATGATCTTGTATCTTGGGAATTGTTTTTTCCTATATTTTTCTCAACCACTGTCTCTTCACATCCAACTCCACCTCCGTAAAGAGCTGGTTCACGTGCTTTTCTTCCAACCTTGGGACCCGCATGGACCCGCCATTCTTGGAGGCAGCAGCACATCAAATATTCCACCGTGGCATCATGATCCTGCATGATCCTTGACTTTTGAAGACCCGTCCGTTGTCGTTTGGTCCTATTATGTCCCATTCTCTGTCCTATTTAGTGGGGCATGTAATATACCCTCTGGTAAACTAACATAGCTATTGAAAATGGTACATTTATAGTGGATTTTCCCATGAAAAATGGTGGATCTTTCATGATCTTTCCATAGTTATGTTAAATTACCAGAGGGTACCGATATATTAACCGTAAAGCCAACAGTGCAGCATGACCCTTGACTCACCCATCCGATCCCCTCGCAGCGACGGATCTTCGAGAAGCCAGCACCAGGAATCACAGTGCTCCAACACGTCCAGGAGATTCAGCTCTGCCAACAGCAGCAGCATATCCTGATAGCTGCTAGTAGCTGCTGGTAGCTGGTAGCTTGTGGCTTGGACCTCCAATTGATTCCGCAAGACTATCATAGACTATCTCCCATCTTTGATGCGCTAAGTGATACCAGTAGGTTGAGGTGTTCTAATTTGAGCTTGTGGTATGGACCCTGGCGACTCCACGCGTTTTCAAATCTGCACTCTTGGAATCGTTCGTAAAGCGTGGTACAATAGTCTGTTGGTCGCCGACCCAAGAAAGGCATGTCACATGTCTGTTTCATGAAGTACTTGCATCATCTATAGTCCCTGGATGTCATTAGTAGCATCTGCTTCTTTATTGTCTTGGATCAAACAAACAGAGCGGCAGCACATGTCTATGACTACATGGTTCCGCGGACCAATGACCAATGACCATCCGATTGCCATCCCATCCTCACTCTGCTTCAGGAAGATGTCAGACACCACCAGGTCAGAGACTTCCGGAGATTCGACCACCCGCACATCTCGGGTGCTCCTCAACCACCACTGAAGAGGCCCGGCCATCAACTGAGGTTGGCTGGAACCTGGGGCGCTGCGAATGGACGGCTTCATGACTCGATGTGGGATATCCATGGATATCCAAGATCTGGATTGAAATGGTCAAAGGATCCACAGATCAGAATTCAAGATGTGACATCCAGCAATCTGCAGGAGAATTGAGGCAAGAAGCTCCGCAGACTCACCAAAAGGCCAAAAGGATTTCCATTTTTCGGGAGAACGCGAGGAAAATACTGAGGTAGAAATTTGGCATCTGACCCTCAAAAACGTTTACGTGTCTTCATGTCTTATTCCGTTTTCTGCAGCCCCAGTGGTTCGGATGTTAGAAAACAATGAGATGTGAGAGCCATGATGGGGGGCCAGATTCGACGAATCCACACACTCTCAAGAGATGCCTCACCCTGAACCAATGCAGAAAACCTCCATGTTTGGGACCCTAAAAACCCATAGTCATCATGCATAATCATGCTATACCCATATTTTATTTCTCCACATTTTTCCCTACCCTTCAACCGGAAAATCATCTGAAATCACCATGTGTGGAAGAACATCTCTAGAAAACACACATCAAAATGGGGCGGACTTTCCATTGCGCCATGGTCCAAATTGTTGGTCCACGGGACACCAGGAGCCCAGCAGATCTTGTAGAAGGCCCAAGAGTTGCAGCTGCTGGAAGATCGGCAAGATCTCGCCCCTGGTTGCCCCCCAAAAGGCGCCAATGGTGCGAGCTGGTCATGGGAAATCCCATGGGAACTCCCCGGTATACCTATGGAGGAAAATCCATGGAGCTTTAGAGCTGGGAAGATCATGGAAAATATATGGAAAATATATGGGGAAGAGGTGGGAACATATGGGAAATCCCCTGTAACTAAGGTTCAGATCATCGAAGTGAATGGTAGATGTTCCATTGACACCAGCATGGTATCAACATCCATCAATAAAGAAATAGATGTCATTGCTACATCCATTAGCATATCCATACATCCATTATCAATTCCTCTCTGCTAAAATGCTCAGAGCCACCCTGTGTGCTGACCTCGTTGTCAGATGTTGGTAATTGACCCCAAGGAAATGTGAGACACATTTGTGAGTGCATCTATTAAGACCATCCAAACAGAATACATACATAACATATATCATAGCATCTGATATTCCGAGAATTGAACACAAAAACATGGTTCTCCCTGCTTGTCCATTACTCAACCCTGCCAGCTGAGATGCTCATCTTCCAATGCCAAGGAGATCCAGTCATCTTGACGGCACTTCTCGAGCATTTCCTGCTCCAACTCGGGCATCAGATACTTCCTGGGATGACCACTGGAACAGCTGTGGGTCCGTGTTCAACTTCCAGTGAGGTCAGACATCAGGGGGAAATTCTACTCCGAAGAATACAATGGACGATAGGCAGGTTCGGCCTTTGGCACTTGTGACAAACTCGGGATTGCCTGGGAATTCTATCAATTCTTTTCAGCTGGGGACTGAAAATTCTGCCAAGGCCATCCAAGGCCAAGATGCTGATAGAGACCCAGAAGTCGAAGATTCAAATGGACTTCCGGTGTCTCCTCAGCCGGGCTCACAGCGGAGCGCGGAGCATCGCGGAGCTGTGACGCTGGGGATGACCCCTGCGCAACTGCGACTGGGGATCTCTGCCGGCTGTGCAAAAAATTGCGGCTTCAATAGCTTCTGCCAATGAAATATCCCAATGTTCTCAAGTCAGTTTGATCCAAACGTTTGCAAGTCAAATATCGTACGTTCTGCCAGTGAAACGTGTATCCCAATTTGTTTGACGGTTTAAACACCTTTAAAACATCAAATGCGCGCTGGTTATTGGTAACAACTGTCCAATATTCCTGTTGAAATCCACTGTCCGATTCTCCTGGCTGCAAAACTTTGGCAGCTCCTAGTGCGGTTAGTGATGTTGTGGTTCCTATTTTGCACTCATTGATAGGCTACAATCCTCCATTTACACATGTGTTGTAACATGAGATCAGATAATCAGATATATGTACATATATTCATCCTGAATACTCCTGGATGGTGTATTCTCTGTATATGATCTTTTGCATCGTATGTAAGTGCGTGTATACAACCCATCAAACAAGTATCATTTGGGCTTTGGCCAAGCATTGAACATCTCGGAACTGAAAGGTCCAACCAATATCCCTGCCCAAATTCATTGATGTCCATAAGGAATCATAAGAAAGCGGGATTAGCAGCTGTGAGATGCGTTTGCAAAAGATGAACGAAGTTGCAGCTTTTCCGGACAATCTGTCACATGGGCTTTAGGTAGCTCTTGGAAGGGCCAGCCGTACATTCGTCTTGGGCCTTCCTGTCACGCGGTCCTTTGGTTTGAAGCCATGTAGTCTGCAGAGCGCATGAAACCTGGCAACTGTGCGGAAATGCACAGATTGGCTTAAGGGAATCGTGATGAACAAATCGCAAAAAACTGACTGATGTAAGGCATGACATGTACAATTGTTTCGTCACAAGCGAGCAACTCACTTCAAGCGATTTTCTTCGACTTGCATTCTGTCATGTAGAGCAAGTTCTCTCACAAAGTTCATGTGCTATTGATGCTGAGAAATTACAAAGGCATATTCACCCTCTTTGAACACCCAAAGATGTCATTGTTCTGAGTATTTCTGACTAATGGGGATCAAACCCAATGCCATTTTTACCATCCGTAAACCATCCCCAAGTCATCACCATAAGTCATCAAAAACCTATCATACCCTCTGGTAAACTAACATAACTATGGAAAATCACCATTTTTTATAGGAAAATCCACTATAAATGGCCATTTTCAATAGCTATGTTAAATTACCAGAGGGTAATCTCATCCCCAAATGATAGTTTTTTTTGGCAGCCACGCTTTCCCACACTGGCTGACCAGGTCTCTGCATCTTCCTGAAGCTGACAGCAGCGGAGTTTGCCCTGGCACCAAGTGGCGAGCTACCATTGGGTCTGTCTGAAATGGTGGAGATCTCTTCACAATATATATATATATATATATTATATTATATTATATATATACATACACAGTAATATATGTATACAGTAATATGTATATATATATATATATGTAAAAACGATTAAAAACGGCTGTTTATGGGAACATTCATGTTGGACCTTCATTTTTTGTGTGCCCTATTTTCGAACAAACCGATGTATATATATATATATGTTTGTAAAAGTTGTAGCGAAACAACAAAGATTGGGGGGAACTCTTCCCAAAATTTTGGGAGCAAATTCAAGGATTTCCACAGTCTTGTTTCAAATGACCAAAACCTTGGAGATGGAGCTGTGTTTTTACCAACAAACCAGCAGCTTAGTTTGGGAAAAAGCAAATGAATTAATTACACATGTTTCACTGTTTCACTCATAATTTCTTACTTAAACAAAAATAGAATAACTTTGAATTACAGAATTCAACTGGATCAGCAATTTGGAGATCTTCGGAACTGCTGGGGGTTTCGACGGAAAGCCGGGGGAGCCTTTGGGAGCCCTTTCATTCCAATACCCCAAGGCTCCGTCTGTGCCTCCAACCAGCATTTTCTGCCTCTGAATTCAGCAATGCTCACTGGGAACATTCAAATTTGGCGCACAAAGTTGGCTTAATTTGTTTGGGAAGAACCCAGAAACTTCGCAGATCCCCCAGCATCCCTTCTCTTGAAAAGCTTGAAGTGGTGGTAGGGCAAAAAGCGGTGAGAAGTGTGGATTTCGATCCGGGTTTCCTATTCTTATCAACATCCAATAGGTATCTTTTTCCCTCCTGAGCCCCAGCTTTCCATTCTTGGAGTATCCAGGTCTCTGTTAAAAGATCAGAAAGTGGTTCACGTTTTGCCTTTTGTGGTGTAAGTACAGGTTCATGAACTATATCATCAGATATCATCAGATATCAAGTTCAATTCCAAAAGCATCCAAAAACTATTTCTTCCATATTTACTCAGCCAATCTCAGCTATGTGTATATTCGTCAACCAGTGATGGCCAGGCCACTGAAAGCTGCTGTGAAGAAGCTGGAAGAACTGAGAGCAGCGGAAGCGCAGAAGAAATGCCACACCTGTGGAGTGGGCATCCGGTCTTTAAGAAAATCAACCATGTATCTCAATCTATATTACTGTATACAAATATATATATATATATATATGATGTGCAGATGTGAATATATATATATATACTACTATGATGTGTGATGTTATAAATAATTATATGTGTATATATGTCTGTATATATTATATATTTATTTATTTATCTTTATTATATGTCTATTATATGTCTATGCATGCATAAATATATATATATATATGTAATTAATTGGCTTTCTACAGTAGTACATCCTATTTCAAGGATTTTCAAGGGGCCACCGGAATCGCCCCGCTCGACTTGGCCTTGCCATAGCTGGGTGCCGATATGACGCAATCTGCAACCTTCAGCCACATCAATGGGATGGATCTCAATCGTAAATGATGTTCATGATGTTGATGAAAATGACATCTACTCAGGGGCGGGAGTTTAGGGGATGTTTGCTGAAACATCTGAAAAGCACACCCATTGAGATGCTTTTTTCCCCAAACGACATCTAAACATGAATTGTTTTGTTCTAAACATACCCTCTGGTAAACGTTGACATCACTATGGAAAATCACCATGCTATCAATGGGAAAATCCACTATTTCTATGGTCATGTTCAATAGCTATGTTAGTTTACCAGAGGGTACTATATAAGTCACCAAGTTGGCTTAAAATCACCGAGGCAGCAGCAGCTCTGAGGCTTGAGCTGCGGACAGGCAGCTTATGGCCTGCTTCATGCGGTACCTGCCACCGGTGACCATATCCATGAAACACTTGAAAATATCTAAGGTGTTGAAATTTTGCTCACTTTAGAATCATTTATAACTATATATAATTATAATACGTATATATATATATACATACAATTAATTAAAAAACATATATAATCATATGATATTCATATGATTAAGTGTGTGTGTGTGTAACTTTAGAAACTATATACAGTATGTTGTATTGGTATGTATAATTGTATTATCTATATATGCTTAGCTGATGTTGGAAATCCCCATCTGACATTAAAGATCAGTGTTAGCCTGGCTGACAAAACAGCGATTCGCCAGGATTCTTCCTGGATCTGCTGTGCATCCCACCGCTATCTCCATCCAACCAGGATGATGTCAAGATCCAGCATCTGGCGGTCCAGCCACAAAAAATTCGCGTTGCATGTTGTTTGCATCAACTGAACTCCAAATCCGATAAATCAGACATAAATCAGACATAAATCAGACATAAATCACACCAATCTGTCCAGCTGCATCCACTCCAACCATTCATCTCCACTGATCCATCTCCACAGCGGGTGGATGCGTGATCTGAAAGCCAAATTGAGCCAAGCAAGATCAGACAATTGCACAATCGAACAACTGCAACCAAAACGTTGGCAAGCTGGATTTTCTCCACTCCAGAGACTCTAAACTTTCACCCACCAATGAGAACAAACACGAAGTAAAGTGTCCAGTCATAGCGCTCAACATGCAGATCCACACATATGAGATCACATATCCATATGCATACTATGAACACATCTGAATCAAAGTGTTTGAGAGTTGTGAGCTGCAAAAACACATGCTGTCGTGTGCTCGCGGCTGCCTGTTTTCCGTTCACATGTCGCATCTCTTCAAAAGCGGGATCGTCTTAGTGTACAGCAAACTGCGCCCTTGAAACTAGTTGTGCTCCAAACCCCCAAGGTGCCACTAGAAGTCTTGGGCTACAGCTCCATGGCCGAGAGAACCATGGCCTCAAATTTGCTGCTTCAAAGCCGCCACGGGAAATGCCTTGACCACAGTCTTGGCAGGCTTGGCCTTCACGATCACCTCCTTGCCGAACATCATCCTCTTGCCAGCCTTGGTCGCTGCCTTCTTGCGAGTTTTGATCATGCACAGTCCTGGAAGAGTGAACTTGCCAGACTTCTTCACCTCATCTGTGCCGATCTCAGCCAACGTGTTCAGGACCTTGGAAACGTCAGACCTCTTGAGCTCAGTTGCATTGACCAACTCACCAAGAAGAGCTCCCTTTGACATTGCCTTCTGACCCTTCATGGCTTTCATTGCAACCTTCTTTGCCTTCATCGCCTTTGCTGGGGCCATGATTTTAGAAAGGTCACGGGAAGAAAAGACAACACAAGCAGCTTGAGCCGAATCCCAACTGTCACCACCGAAGGTCAGGGGATGAAAGTCGATTGTGTCACTGCCAACTAGAGCCTGGAGAACTTCAAGCAACCAGACAATCCATCAAATCCATCAACATGTTTTCTGCTTTTTGGCCTAGAGACACGACAACTTTCGTCTGCACAAGAAAACGATTGCCAAAACATGCCAAAACCATCCAAAGCATTCCAAAGCCGCCACAGAGACAAACACCAAGTAAAGTGTCCAGTCGTAGCGCTCAACATGCAGATCCACACATCACATATTCATATGCATACTATACTACTGACACATCTGAATCAAAGTGTTTGAGAGTTGTGAGCTGCAAAAACACATGCTGTCGTGTGCTCGCGGCTGCCTGTTTTCCGTTCACATGTCGCATCTCTTCAAAAGCGGGATCGTCTTAGTGTACAGCAAACTGCGCCCTTGAAACTAGTTGTGCTCCAAACCCCCAAGGTGCCACTAGAAGTCTTGGGCTACAGCTCCATGGCCGAGAGAACCATGGCCTCAAATTTGCTGCTTCAAAGCCGCCACGGGAAATGCTTTGACCACAGTCTTGGCAGGCTTGGCCTTCACGATCACCTCCTTGCCGAACATCATCCTCTTGCCAGCCTTGGTCGCTGCCTTCTTGCGAGTTTTGATCATGCACAGTCCTGGAAGAGTGAACTTGCCAGACTTCTTCACCTCATCTGTGCCGATCTCAGCCAACGTGTTCAGGACCTTGGAAACGTCCGACCTCTTGAGCTCAGTTGCATTGACCAACTCACCAAGAAGAGCTCCCTTTGACATTGCCTTCTGACCCTTCATGGCTTTCATTGCAACCTTATTTGCCTTCATCGCCTTTGCTGGGGCCATGATTTTAGAAAGGTCACGGGAAGAAAAGACAACACAAGCAGCTTGAGCCGAATCCCAACTGTCACCACCGAAGGTCAGGGGATGAAAGTCGATTGTGTCACTGCCAACTAGAGCCTGGAGAACTTCAAGCAACCAGACAATCCATCAAATCCATCAACAAGTCTTCTGCTTTTTGGTCTAGAGACTCGACAACTTTCGTCTGCACAAGGAAACTATTGCCAAAACATGACAAAACCATCCAAAGCATTCCAAAGCCGCCACAGAGACAAACACCAAGTAAAGTGTCCAGTCATAGCGCTCAACATGCAGATCCACACATCACATATTCATGTGCATACTATACTATATTGACACATCTGAATCAAAGTGTTTGAAAATTGTGAGCTGCAAAAACACATGCTGTCGCGTGCTCGCTGATGCCTGTTTTCCGTTCACATGTCGCATCTCTTCAAAAGCGGGATCGTCTTAGTGTACAGCAAACTGCGCCCTTGAAACTAGTTGTGCTCCAAACCCCCAAGGTGCCACTAGAAGTCTTGGGCTACAGCTCCATGGCCGAGAGAACCATGGCCTCAAATTTGCTGCTTCAAAGCCGCCACGGGAAATGCTTTGACCACAGTCTTGGCAGGCTTGGCCTTCACGATCACCTCCTTGCCGAACATCATCCTCTTGCCAGCCTTGGTCGCTGCCTTCTTGCGAGTTTTGATCATGCACAGTCCTGGAAGAGTGAACTTCCCAGACTTCTTCACCTCATCTGTGCCGATCTCAGCCAACGTGTTCAGGACCTTGGAAACGTCAGACCTCTTGAGCTCAGTTGCATTGACCAACTCACCAAGAAGAGCTCCCTTTGACATTGCCTTCTGACCCTTCATGGCTTTCATTGCAACCTTCTTTGCCTTCATCGCCTTTGCTGGGGCCATGATTTCAGAAAGGTCACGGGAAGAAAAGACAACACAAGCAGCTTGAGCCGAATCCCAACTGTCACCACCGAAGGTCAGGGGATGAAAGTTGATGGTGTCACTGCAAACTAGAGCCTGGAGAACTTCAAGCAACCAGACAATCCATCAAATCCATCAACAAGTCTTCTGCTTTTTGGTCTAGAGACTCCACAACTTTCATCTGCACAAAGAAACTATCATCAAAATCATGATTCATCCAAAGCTACCACAGAGAGAAAGACCTGGTAGAGTGTCCAATCATAGCGCTCAACATGCAGATCCATACATATGTGAGCACATATCCATATATGCATACTATATTACTGACACATCTGAATCAAAGTGTTTGAAAATTGTGAGCTGCAAAAACACATGCTGTCGCGTGCTCGCTGATGCCTGTTTTCCGTTCACATGTCGCATCTCTTCAAAAGCGGGATCGTCTTAGTGTACAGCAAACTGCGCCCTTGAAACTAGTTGTGCTCCAAACCCCCAAGGTGCCACTAGAAGTCTTGGGCTACAGCTCCATGGCCGAGAGAACCATGGCCTCAAATTTGCTGCTTCAAAGCCGCCACGGGAAATGCCTTGACCACAGTCTTGGCAGGCTTGGCCTTCACGATCACCTCCTTGCCGAACATCATCCTCTTGCCAGCCTTGGTCGCTGCCTTCTTGCGAGTTTTGATCATGCACAGTCCTGGAAGAGTGAACTTGCCAGACTTCTTCACCTCATCTGTGCCGATCTCAGCCAACGTGTTCAGGACCTTGGAAACGTCAGACCTCTTGAGCTCAGTTGCATTGACCAACTCACCAAGAAGAGCTCCCTTTGACATTGCCTTCTGACCCTTCATGGCTTTCATTGCAACCTTCTTTGCCTTCATCGCCTTTGCTGGGGCCATGATTTCAGAAAGGTCACGGGAAGAAAAGACAACACAAGCAGCTTGAGCCGAATCCCAACTGTCACCACTGAAGGTCAGGGGATGAAAGTCTATGGTGCCACTGCCAACTAGAGCCTGGAGAACTTCAAGCAACCAGACAATCCATCAAATCCATCAACAAGTCTTCTGCTTTTTGGTCTAGAGACTCGACAACTTTCGTCTGCACAAGAAAACTATTGCCAAAACATGCCAAAACCATCCAAAGCATTCCAAAGCCACCACAGAGACACACCAAGTAAAGTGTCCAGTCATTAGCGCTCAACATGCAGATCCACACATCACATATTCATATATGCATACTATACTACTGACACATCTGATCAAAGTGTGTGAAAGTTGTGAGCTGCAAAAACACATGCTGTCGCGTGCTCGCTGATGCCTTTTTTCCGTTCACATGTCGCATCTCTTCAAAAGCTGGATCGTCTTAGTGTACAGCAAACTGCGCCCTTGAAACTAGTTGTGCTCCAAACCCCCAAGGTGCCACTAGAAGTCTTGGGCTACAGCTCCATGGCCGAGAGAACCATGGCCTCAAATTTGCTGCTTCAAAGCCGCCACTGGAAATGCTTTGACCACAGTCTTGGCAGGCTTGGCCTTCACGATCACCTCCTTGCCGAACATCATCCTCTTGCCAGCCTTGGTCGCTGCCTTCTTGCGAGTTTTGATCATGCACAGTCCTGGAAGAGTGAACTTGCCAGACTTCTTCACCTCATCTGCGCCGATCTCAGCCAACGTGTTCAGGACCTTGGAAACGTCCGACCTCTTGAGCTCAGTTGCATTGACCAACTCACCAAGAAGAGTTCCCTTTGACATTGCCTTCTGACCCTTCATGGCTTTCATTGCAACCTTCTTTGCCTTCATCGCCTTTGCTGGGGCCATGATTTCAGAAAGGTCACGGGAAGAAAAGACAACACAAGCAGCTTGAGCCGAATCCCAACTGTCACCACCGAAGGTCAGGGGATGAAAGTCGATTGTGTCACTGCCAACTAGAGCCTGGAGAACTTCAAGCAACCAGACAATCCATCAAATCCATCAACAAGTCTTCTGCTTTTTGCTCTAGAGACTCGACAACTTTCATCTGCACAAAGAAACTATCATCAAAATCATCAATCATCCAACACAGAGAGAGAAACACCAAGTAAAGTGTCCAGTCATAGCGCTCAACATGCAGATCCACACATATGAGATCACAGATTCATATGCATACTATTAACACATCTGAATCAAAGTGTGCGAAAGTTGTGAGCTGCAAACACATGCTGTCACATGCTTGCTGATGCTTGTTTTCCGTTCACATGTCGCATCTCTTCAAAAGCGGGATCGCCTTAGTGTACAGCAAACTGCGCCCTTGAAACTAGTTGTGCTCCAATCCCCCAAGGTGCCACTAGAAGTCTTGGGCTACAGCTCCATGGCCGAGAGAACCATGGCCTCAAATTTGCTGCTTCAAAGCCGCCACGGGAAATGCCTTGACCACAGTCTTGGCAGGCTTGGCCTTCACGATCACCTCCTTGCCGAACATCATCCTCTTGCCAGCCTTGGTCGCTGCCTTCTTGCGAGTTTTGATCATGCACAGTCCTGGAAGAGTGAACTTCCCAGACTTCTTCACCTCATCTGCGCCGATCTCAGCCAACGTGTTCAGGACCTTGGAAACGTCCGACCTCTTGAGCTCAGTTGCATTGACCAACTCACCAAGAAGAGTTCCCTTTGACATTGCCTTCTGACCCTTCATGGCTTTCATTGCAACCTTCTTTGCCTTCATCGCCTTTGCTGGGGCCATGATTTCAGAAAGGTCACGGGAAGAAAAGACAACACAAGCAGCTTGAGCCGAATCCCAACTGTCACCACCGAAGGTCAGGGGATGAAAGTCGATTGTGTCACTGCCAACTAGAGCCTGGAGAACTTCAAGCAACCAGACAATCCATCAAATCCATCAACAAGTCTTCTGCTTTTTGGTCTAGAGACTCGACAACTTTCGTCTGCACAAGGAAACTATTGCCAAAACATGCCAAAACCATCCAAAGCATTCCAAAGCCACCACAGAGACACACCAAGTAAAGTGTCCAGTCATAGCGCTCAACATGCAGATCCACACATCACATATACATATATGCATACTATACTACTGACACATCTGAATCAAAGTGTGTGAAAGTTGTGAGCCGCAAAAACACATGCTGTCACATGCTTGCTGATGCCTTTTTTCCGTTCACATGTCGCATCTCTTCAAAAGCGGGATCGTCTTAGTGTACAGCAAACTGCGCCCTTGAAACTAGTTGTGCTCCAAACCCCCAAGGTGCCACTAGAAGTCTTGGGCTACAGCTCCATGGCCGAGAGAACCATGGCCTCAAATTTGCTGCTTCAAAGCCGCCACTGGAAATGCTTTGACCACAGTCTTGGCAGGCTTGGCCTTCACGATCACCTCCTTGCCGAACATCATCCTCTTGCCAGCCTTGGTCGCTGCCTTCTTGCGAGTTTTGATCATGCACAGTCCTGGAAGAGTGAACTTGCCAGACTTCTTCACCTCATCTGCGCCGATCTCAGCCAACGTGTTCAGGACCTTGGAAACGTCCGACCTCTTGAGCTCAGTTGCATTGACCAACTCACCAAGAAGAGTTCCCTTTGACATTGCCTTCTGACCCTTCATGGCTTTCATTGCAACCTTCTTTGCCTTCATCGCCTTTGCTGGGGCCATGATTTCAGAAAGGTCACGGGAAGAAAAGACAACACAAGCAGCTTGAGCCGAATCACAAACTTCAAGCAACCAGACAATCCATCAAATCCATCAACAAGTCTTCTGCTTTTTGGTTTAGAGACTCGACAACTTTCGTCTGCACAAGGAAACTATTGCCGAAACATGCCAAAACCATCCAAAGCATTCCAAAGCCGCCACAGAGACAAACACCAAGTAAAGTGTCCAGTCATAGCGCTCAACATGCAGATCCACACATATGAGATCACAGATTCATATGCATACTATTAACACATCTGAATCAAAGTGTGCGAAAGTTGTGAGCTGCAAACACATGCTGTCACATGCTTGCTGATGCTTGTTTTCCGTTCACATGTCGCATCTCTTCAAAAGCGGGATCGCCTTAGTGTACAGCAAACTGCGCCCTTGAAACTAGTTGTGCTCCAATCCCCCAAGGTGCCACTAGAAGTCTTGGGCTACAGCTCCATGGCCGAGAGAACCATGGCCTCAAATTTGCTGCTTCAAAGCCGCCACGGGAAATGCCTTGACCACAGTCTTGGCAGGCTTGGCCTTCACGATCACCTCCTTGCCGAACATCATCCTCTTGCCAGCCTTGGTTGCTGCCTTCTTGCGAGTTTTGATCATGCACAGTCCTGGAAGAGTGAACTTCCCAGACTTCTTCACCTCATCTGCGCCGATCTCAGCCAACGTGTTCAGGACCTTGGAAACGTCCGACCTCTTGAGCTCAGTTGCATTGACCAACTCACCAAGAAGAGTTCCCTTTGACATTGCCTTCTGACCCTTCATGGCTTTCATTGCAACCTTCTGTGCCTTCATCGCCTTTGCTGGGGCCATGATTTTAGAAAGGTCGCGGGAAGAAAAGACAACACAAGCAGCTTGAGCCGAATCCCAACTGTCACCACCGAAGGTCAGGGGATGAAAGTCGATTGTGTCACTGCCAACTAGAGCCTGGAGAACTTCAAGCAACCAGACAATCCATCAAATCCATCAACAAGTCTTCTGCTTTTTGGTCTAGAGACTCGACAACTTTCGTCTGCACAAGGAAACTATTGCCAAAACATGCCAAAACCATCCAAAGCATTCCAAAGCCACCACAGAGACACACCAAGTAAAGTGTCCAGTCATAGCGCTCAACATGCAGATCCACACATCACATATACATATATGCATACTATACTACTGACACATCTGAATCAAAGTGTGTGAAAGTTGTGAGCCGCAAAAACACATGCTGTCACATGCTTGCTGATGCCTGTTTTCCGTTCACATGTCGCATCTCTTCAAAAGCGGGATCGCCTTAGTGTACAGCAAACTGCGCCCTTGAAACTAGTTGTGCTCCAATCCCCCAAGGTGCCACTAGAAGTCTTGGACTACAGCTCCATGGCCGAGAGAACCATGGCCTCAAATTTGCTGCTTCAAAGCCGCCACGGGAAATGCCTTGACCACAGTCTTGGCAGGCTTGGCCTTCACGATCACCTCCTTGCCGAACATCATCCTCTTGCCAGCCTTGGTCGCTGCCTTCTTGCGAGTTTTGATCATGCACAGTCCTGGAAGAGTGAACTTCCCAGACTTCTTCACCTCATCTGCGCCGATCTCAGCCAACGTGTTCAGGACCTTGGAAACGTCCGACCTCTTGAGCTCAGTTGCATTGACCAACTCACCAAGAAGAGTTCCCTTTGACATTGCCTTCTGACCCTTCATGGCTTTCATTGCAACCTTCTTTGCCTTCATCGCCTTTGCTGGGGCCATGATTTCAGAAAGGTCACGGGAAGAAAAGACAACACAAGCAGCTTGAGCCGAATCCCAACTGTCACCACCGAAGGTCAGGGGATGAAAGTCGATTGTGTCACTGCCAACTAGAGCCTGGAGAACTTCAAGCAACCAGACAATCCATCAAATCCATCAACAAATTTTCTGCTTTTTGGTTTAGAGACTCGACAACTTTCGTCTGTACAAGAAACTATTGCCAAAATATGCCAAAACCATCCAAAGCATTCCAAAGCCACCACAGAGACAAACACCAAGTAAAGTGTCCAGTCATAGCGCTCAACATGCAGATCCACACATATGAGATCACAGATTCATATGCATACTATTAACACATCTGAATCAAAGTGTGTGAAAGTTGTGAGCTGCAAACACATGCTGTCACATGCTTGCTGATGCTTGTTTTCCGTTCACATGTCGCATCTCTTCAAAAGCGGGATCGTCTTAGTGTACAGCAAACTGCGCCCTTGAAACTAGTTGTGCTCCAATCCCCCAAGGTGCCACTAGAAGTCTTGGACTACAGCTCCATGGCCGAGAGAACCATGGCCTCAAATTTGCTGCTTCAAAGCCGCCACGGGAAATGCCTTGACCACAGTCTTGGCAGGCTTGGCCTTCACGATCACCTCCTTGCCGAACATCATCCTCTTGCCAGCCTTGGTCGCTGCCTTCTTGCGAGTTTTGATCATGCACAGTCCTGGAAGAGTGAACTTCCCAGACTTCTTCACCTCATCTGCGCCGATCTCAGCCAACGTGTTCAGGACCTTGGAAACGTCCGACCTCTTGAGCTCAGTTGCATTGACCAACTCACCAAGAAGAGTTCCCTTTGACATTGCCTTCTGACCCTTCATGGCTTTCATTGCAACCTTCTTTGCCTTCATCGCCTTTGCTGGGGCCATGATTTCAGAAAGGTCACGGGAAGAAAAGACAACACAAGCAGCTTGAGCCACAACTGGTCAGCATGGAGGATGTGAGAAAGGAAGGTGAAACAGGACTATCGGGGTGCCCCAAAAAAACACTCTGGTCAGTTCTTGGATTTAACCATCCATTCTTGGTGCTCATGATCTTGATCCACAGCTGCTTGGCCACACTGAAGCAGATGAAAGCAAAAGGACAAGCCTCTTCTGAGAAGAATCGGGTCCAATATGGTCCAATGGTTCTTATCTACCTCTGGTCCTTTACGAATCTACGTTTTGTGGGCAAAGAAGATCTGGACAACGCAGCGCAGGCTGCTTTTGAACGTGCGCAGACGATCTGAAAATCATCAGCCAGGTTAAACACAAGGCTGATCCTCATCTCTGGGCTGATCTGCGTCAGCAGATCTCCAGCTGCGAAATGGCACGGCCAAAAAAAACTGAGATTTTTGTACTGAAGATCAGATTGTTACATCCCATGAATAGATTGTCATCACCAAGCAAATATACTTGAAAGGCTTTGCTCGTCCCGTCTTAGGTCAGCAGCGGGCCATGCTTGGCCACCATTAGCTCTGGTCATTGGCATATTTCAGCCATGGTTCAACCTCAGGAAAAAAGGAACAAGTACACCCGACAATCGAAAGACGACCAGAACTGGAGGTCTGGATAGTTGAAACCACCATTTATAGTGGATGTTCATGGATTTTCCCATACTTTCGTATGGGTTTTCCAATTGAGACATTGGTTTATTGCACCATTTTTGCCACTGACTTCCACGAAGTGAGTCTGTGAGAGAGGGATGTCACCCTCAGGGCGTAAAATCAGCGAATACCGTCTATCCAGGAATCCAGAACCATGATCGTTAAAGTGGACGCTCCAAATCAGAAGTACAAGAAAAATTATGACCTTAGAGGTCTATCTTTGTTGATAGCATATATTCTAGATAAGACAAGAAATGTGCTACGCAAGTGGCGTAGCACCACCTGTGTCTGGGTCTCACACCTTTTCGACTGAACCTGCAGGGGGACCGTCTTCCCAGTTATGCGTTGACTGAAGATACAACATGTTTGCAATCAGCCAGGGAATGTACGAAGCATAGTATATTTACATGTATTTAGACTTAGTAAAGTCAAGCTTCTGGGCAGCCTGGGCAGCTCGAAAATACATCGACTTTCTTTGTGGAAATCACTTTCTGATGTGGAGTGGTCACTTTGAAGTACCAAATCAGCAAATCCAGCAACGAAAGCCTGGCCAAAAGGCTTGGAAGGGAGCTGTTGTCGCAATACAGGCACTGGCCGCCTACCAATGGCTGTGGTTCAAGTCATTCAGGCTACCAATTTTATGTGTTAACAAGATGAAAAAAATCTTTGGGGCAAACTTTGAGGTTCAATAATTTTGACCCCCAAATTTTATCCGATTTGGTGTTTCGTTTTTCTCAATCCATGTTACCTGTTCTGTATATTTCTATATCATGGTATGTCCTCATAGTATGTAGTATGATTTATCAAAATCCCAAAATTGTTTTTTTGCACCCTGATTTGATATATATATATATATGGGGGTTGTCCAAAATACCTTTTCCCGGACAGCCCTCAATCGCTCAGCCAATCGCGTAGCAACCGCGGTACCACAGTGAGCAATCGCGGAAGGGTTTGTTCTTCGTTGATCAGATCATATACATAAAATATAAGTTATGTATTATATAATGAGGATCCATGCGTGAACGCATTCGATTTCAAATTTGGGAACAAAATAAGCTCGCGCGGTCCGGAAACGGTCCGGAAAACTCACAGTAGTACCAGCAGCAGTAGTACTAGTAGTACTAGTAGTACTAGTAGTACTAGTAGTACTAGTAGTACTAGTAGTACTAGTAGTAGTAGTAGTAGTAGTCGTAGTAGTAGTAGTAGTAGGGGTAAGAGTAGGAGTAGGAGTAGGAGTAGGAATAGGAGAAGGAGTTCTAGTAGCAGGGCAAGGGAAGAAAGGGAGAGGGAGGGAAAGAGAGAAAGAGAGAGAGAGAGGGAGGGAGGGGGAAACAGATGGTTGCGTTTGACCGGTTTCTGACGGGTTTCTGACTGGTTTCTGACTGGTTTCTGACTCGTTTCTGACCCTTCAGCGGAACTCGTGTCAATTGGATTTAAAAGCAAGAGCAGAAATTCCTAGGTGTACTAGTGGTAGTGGTGGTGCAGTAGCAGCGGGTGTGGTGGTAGTACTAAGAGTAGTAGCAAATCTAGTAGTGGGAGTAAGGATCCATGCGTGAACGCATTCGATTTCAAATTTGGAAGCAAAATAAGCTTGCGCGGTCCGGAAACGGTCCGGAAAACTCACACTAGTACCAGCAGGACTAGCAGTAGCAGTAGCACTAGCAGTAGTGGTAGTGGAAATTGCAATAGGAGTAGGCGTAGGAGTTCTGATGGGAGGGTGAGGGAATAGGCAAGGGAGAGAGAGAGAGAGAGATTGCGTTTGGCCGGTTTCTGAGGGGTTTCTGACTGGTTTCTGACTCGTTTCTGACCCTTCACACGAGCGCAATTGGATTTAAAAGCAAGAGCAGAAATTCCTAGGTGTACTAGTGGTAGTGGTGGTAGTGGTGGTGCAGGGTGGTGCAGTAGCAGCGGGTGTGGTGGTAGTGCTGGGGTAGTAGCAAATCTAGTAATGAGAGTAAGGATCCATGCGTGAACGCATTCGATTTCAAATTTGGGAGCAAAATAAGCTTGTGCGGTCCGGAAACGGTCCGGAAAACTCACAGTCCGGAAACGGTCCGGAAAACTCACAGTGCACTAGCAGTAGCAGTAGCACTAGCAGTAGTGGTAGTGGAAATTGGAATAGGAGTAGGCGTAGGAGTTCTGGTAGGAGGGTGAGGGAATAGGCAAGGGAGAGAGAGAGAGAGGTTGCGTTTGGAGTAGGAGTAGGAGTAGGAGTAGGAGTAGAAGTAGGAGTAGGAGTAGTAGTAGGAGTAGTAGTAGTAGTAGTCGTAGTAGTAGTAGTAGGAGTAGTAGTAGTAGTAGTATTAGTAGTAGTAGTAGTAGTGGTAGTATTAGTAGTAGTAGTAGTAGTAGAAGTAGTAATAGTAGTAATAGTAGTAATAGTAGTAATAGTAACAATAGTAATAGTAATAGTAGAAGTAGCAATGATAAGAGCTGAGGTGGATGGATGGATGGATGGATGGATGGATGGATGGATGGATGGATGGGATGCTAGGCAAGTGCTGCCTTTTTGGTGTTTCTGACCTGTTTCTGACCTTTCCCGGAGTCTTCTTCAACTTCAAAAAAATCAGCACGGGCAGTCAAACTAGGAACAATTTTAGTGATCGTCAAAGTAATATCATTACTAGTGCCCCAAATACTAGTACTAGTGCTACTAGTAGTAGTAGTAGTAGGAGGAGGAGGAGTAGTAGAAGTAGTAATAGTAGTAATAGTAATAATAGAAGTAGCAATGATAAGAGCTGAGGTGGATGGATGGATGGATGGATGGATGGGATGCTAGGCAAGTGCTGCCTTTTTGGTGTTTCTGACCTGTTTCTGACCTGTTTCTGACCTTTCCCGGAGTCTTCTTCAACTTCAAAAGAATCAGCACGGGCAGTCAAACTAGGAACAATTTTAGTGATCGTCAAAGTAATATCATTACTAGTGCCCCAAATACTAGTACTAGTGCTACTAGTAGTAGTAGTAGTAGTAGGAGGAGGAGGAGGAGTAGAAGTAGTTATAGTAGTAATAGTAATAGTAGAAGTAGCAATGATAAGAGCTGAGGTGGATGGATGGATGGATGGATGGATGGATGGATGGATGGATGGGATGCTAGGCAAGTGCTGCCTTTTTTGTGTTTCTGACCTGTTTCTGACCTGTTTCTGACCTGTTTTCAATTGGAGCTAGCTTGAATGTCCTTCTGACCTGAAAACATCTGCGCGGATTCCGCGCGCGCGGATTCCGCGCACGCGGAATCCGCGCGGCCATGTCAATTATTGGCATGGTTCTGGTCTCGAAAGTAGTAGTAGTAGTAGTAGTAGTAGTAGTAGTAGTAGTAGTAGTAGTAGTAGTAGTAGTAGTAGTCGTAGTAGTCGTAGTAGTCGTAGTAGTCGTAGTAGTCGTAGTAGTCGTAGAAGTCGTAGTAGTAGTAGTAGTACTAGTACTAGTACTAGTAGTAGTAGTAGTAGTAGTACTAGTAGTACTAGCAGTACTAGTAGTAAAAGTAGTAGTAGTAGTAGTAGTAGTAATAGGGTGGTAGCCGTATAACCAATCGCCAACCAATCGCTCAGCCTATCGCGATGCAGGTTTCAGCAATCGCGCAAAGCAAAGTAAACGCATCAATTCATAAATTTGTGACCTGCTTTTACGGACGGCTCCCATATATATATATATATATTTGTGTCAAATGTATTTACATTATAGATTTCTAGGCAAAAATATTTTTTGTTGGGGATGTTCTACAGAGATATTCCCATGAAAACCATAGTTTATCCATAGATGTTCCATTGATTTTCTATGGCAATCTATGGCAGATGTTCACCCGGTGAATTTGCCCATTTTCCGTGGCCGCTTCGGCACCATCATTCACAATCTCTCGGAAGGCGTCCAGGTCCAGAGCGTTTTCGCCCTGAAAGTCCTGGCACTTGCAGAGTTTTTGGGGGGTTAACATGACTTAACCATGGCTTAACGATCAAAAATTGTGATGTCATGGGATCTGTGTGCATCAAAAGTAATGATTGAATGGTGAATTCATGGGATATAAATGGGTATATATATATATATTGGATTATAATGAGACATAACCTACTTGGGCGCCGCAGGACTGGGATGACAGTACCATGGTTGTGAGTTCACCTCCATAAATTGGGATATACATGGGACCCCTAGAACTATATGGTGCTATATCCACTTATAGAATTGGAAGTGGAACCCTAAGTAGGCACCAAAACTTGGGATTGGGGTGCCAAAACTTGGGGATTGCACGTTTCTAGCATCACACATGGTGGGCTGACCATACTACCCTCTGGTAAACTAACGTAACTATGGAAAATCACAACTTTTAATGGGAAAACTCACTATAAATGGCCATCTTCAATAGCTATGTTAGTTTACCAGAGGGTAAATCACCAAGCATTATCCCAGCCTCGCCTCCGCTCGCATCTCGACCTTCAACTCCTTCGCCAGCACTTGCAGTTCCATCTGATCGAGAAGTCCATCCTGGCGGACTGGATGATGATCATGGCAATATATAATAATCCTGGGGAAAAAAATCTAGTAACTGATGGTCATGGGAAATGTATATATATATACATGCAACTAATAATCCTAGGGAAAATCGTATTTATGTTAATTACAATGGGAAATTTGTAATTATGATAACTACTATATTATAATGATATTTTTTGTATGGCAACTAATAATAATGGGAAAAATGTATTTATGCTAAGTACAATAATACATTAAACATATATAGTGGAAGCGATGTGCAAAATATTCTATTCTGATTTCCGTTGTATCCACTATATCACTAGAAACGATGGGGAAAAAGAAGAACACATTATTATTGAAGAACATTGCTAGTAGTATAAATATTGATATTGATAAGAATAGCAAAAGCAATACCGATAGTGATACTGTAGTGACATACAGTGATAGCGATACAAATAGTAATATTACTCATTATTAGTCGAAGTAAAAGTGATGAGAAAACATAATCGCATTCAGAAAAAATAACAACAATGAGAATGGCAATGATGCTAATACAGTACCCTCCGGTAAACTAACATAACTATGGAAAATCACCATTTTTTATGGGTAATTCAACTGTTTCTATGGCCATTTTCAATAGCATGTTAGTTTACCAGAGGGTAAATGATACAACAATAACACCAATAAGAATGATTCTGATAAAACCATTAAAAAAACCCAGGGGGGCTGAACAACAGAAGACCGCTGCCTGGTTCGAGTCGAGGTAGAAAAACAGCGCATCGATCAAACGAGATCGATCCTGTGGCTGCAGCATACAAAATGAGGATCTTGTATGTATGTCTATATATATATATATATACATACATAATATATATATGTATGTATTACAATAATAATGATGATTTATTGTGTATATAAAAATAAAGATTTGATATAACATGTTATAACATGATATAACTTATGGTAGCTCAGCTACGCTCAATGCCAATTTCATTAAAAAAAAATGCTGTTGGTCTGAGTGTCTTCATCGCTGCCTGAGAACTGTAAGTCAAGAAGCCAAATGAGATCCTTCATGATGAGATTCTTAGGTATCATGATTCCTTCAGCGACACTGATGGAGTTTTATTAGGAACTACTGTGGCAAAGCCAATAATGAACCATCTTTATTTCTGCCGTACAAGGTTCAAAGGTGAGAAAACCATCCACCAATTTGGTGGTTTATGGGATTGGGTTTACCACATCTACCTCTAACCATAGAGCGCCCGGGACCACATTCGGCGGGTGCCTGAATACTGACACGTCGCTCGACTCCTCAAAGAAATGGCTTGTTGGGTATGCCTTTTACAGTAAGGCCAATGCATGTCACCACTTAGGATCCCTAGGATTTAGGATATATGCAAACTATCAGGATATATATATACACACATACTGCGTAATCATACATGATCCATGACAATAAGAATAATAGAAATGATAATAACAATAATGTATGCACACCATCCAGCACCTTTAGCAACAGAATATTCTCACCCCAGCATCGTGTGCAACCATCTAGAATTGGCACAACCCCTGAACAAATGCCAAAGTTCTCTTCCTTGAACGACTCAACCACCCCGACTAGTACCTTTAATCAAAATGGGGATGAATCTTTGTGAATCTTTGTGAAGTGACATGACAAGATGTGTAAGAGTAAAATCTACAGTACTGACTCACCAGCAATGTAAAAACCAAAAATGGAAGGGCACCAACCTCTCTGAAGCCACCAGCAATGACAAAGCGGCTTGGTTGGCGAACAACGTCGCTGATCATGGTTTCAAGGTCATCCTCCGAAACGTAAAGTCCAAGCTCACTTCGATCCTGTCAGGGATTGGAATCCACCATGGCTAGCTGGGAAATCTATGAATTTCCCAGTTTTTCAATGGAGAAAAAGTTCATGACCATAAAAAACAGATTCTCCAGCCATGGATGACACCAGAGGGTTTGACCCCAAGTTCCCATGGTTTCCTCCAGCATCTCCGCGAAAGTCTGCGCATCAACACCTTCCCGTTGCTTCACTTTCCAGTGGCTGCAAAGCTTCCGGAAATGCATGGGCCAGGCCTGAGACGCAGAGCGGCCCAGGTCTTTGAACTTGGCCACTCCTGTTTTCCGCCCAATGGTCTGTATATATTCTATACATCCTATTATCTAATAAATTTATCTAATTCATCCAATGGTCTATATACATCCATATCAATGAGAGACTTGCCATTGGATTAATTAGAGACAAAGATTATCTAATTATATGTCCATTGATTTCATCTCTAGTATGTTCATATAATTCTCATATGAGACACGTGCCGCCCACGCCTCATAGCGAGCCGCAAAGACCTCAGTCAAAACTCTTCAAAAGATATCAAACAGAAGGGACAGTAGGGCAAGGGTAGTAAAACATGTTGACAATGATATACACCTGATATATATATATATATGTGTGTGTGTGTGTGTATGTATGTATGTATGTATGTATGTATGTATGTATGTATGCATGCATGCATGCATGCATGTATGTATATGTATAACTAACAAATACATTAAAACTGATATGTATATGGGACGGCGACTCACTTGCGCGCACAAAATTGACTCAGTTGCGCACACAGGATTCTGACTCACTTGCGCACACAAAAGTGTCTCAGTTGTACACACAGAGCCTTCGGGGGATGGGGTGGGGTTTGTTAACGTCATTATCTTTCTTGCTGTCCAGCAGACACAGGCACTGCTCTTTCATGATCAGTTACCGGTGGGTTGGGGTGAGGGGGGTGGGGTAATAACGTTCATATTCCTGTGCACACACAGGCACAGCAACCTAATCATCTTTCTTGCTGTCCAGCAGACACAGGCACTGCTCTTTCATGATCAGTTACCGGTGGGGTGGGGTGGGGTGGGGGGTAATAACGTTCATGTTCCTGCGCACACACAGGCACAGCAACCTTATCATTTTTCTTGCTGTCCAGCAGACACAGGCACTGCTCTTTCATAATCAGTTACCGGTGGGGTGGGGTGGAATATAACCTAACGTGAGGCTATCGCCACGGTATCTATAACCAATATATCAACCGTCGCGTTTTATATAACAAAAGTGCAAAACGACAGACATGAAAACACAGCACAGCTGAAATCCAAGGACATCACTGCAGAGACCGCGTGGGGACAATAGTAGGGAAACCGAAGAAAAAGATCCGAGACACGCAATGGGGTCAATACCGGACCACCGATGCGCGTTACTTACTTACAAGCACATAATCCAAACGGTTCGCGAATGCATCATCATCATCAACATCATCACCAGCATCATCATCATCATCATCATCATTTGGCCAACATCATCATCATCATCATCATCATCATCATCACCGTCATCATCATCATCATCACCATCATCATCATCATCATTTGGCCATCATCATCATCATCATCATCACCGTCATCACCGTCATCACCATCCTTAATGCACAACTGAGTTGGTTTCTCGCCTGGACAACCGAGTCGGTTTTCGCGTGCACAACGGAGGCCCTAACCTGTATATGCGCAGTATAAATGTATATGTGTATACAACTGTTGTTTCATGCTTGTTGAACTGCGAGATTTGCTGCTTGATGATCAAACTAAACTTACCAAATGCTCAACGAAACAAGCGAATTTGAAGCCAAAGCCCTAGACCCAAACCAGAACCCCCACCAACCTAAAACTGTCTGAAACCATCTATGCATATTTCAGATCTGGGTCTTCTAGATGCATATTTCAGATCTGGGTCTTCCCAAAAATTGGGGGGTGCTTGCAGGTAATGTCGTAAACCCATAAACAAGCAACAAGGAAAGGCTGATGCCACCCACTTCTGCTACACTGGAGCATCTTGTATTATTGGATTTGGGTCGTTTTATATGGGTATGTGTCAAAATGCTCAATCATCCTGGAACCAAAATTTGATGGCACAAATCCTCAAAGATGTTTTTGAAAATCTTTGACCCACCTCGTCAATCCATATCCATATCCACAAAAATAATCGTCACAAAGATCATTGTCATCCTCAAAATCATGGTCTCAAATATCGATCATCGTATCCGTGTATAACATGGTCAAGTATCCACAATCCACAAACAAATTGCTATACAATCCATATTTCTATATACTAGTGTATATATATATATATGCATAGTTATACATATATAGATATGCATATAATCCACAAATCCACATATCATCCATACACCATCCAAACCCAGTGCTGCCCAAGGCACCACGCCCAAATCCTTGGAACTGCAACGTCCATCGCCATCACTGTCCAAGGCATTGAACAGCTGCGCCATCAGCGCGTTGCGACGAGCATCCGCAGCTGGTGACTCCTGGACCTCGGAGGTTCAATGCGGGGCTGGGGTAAACCCATGGGGAAAACCCATGGGAACACAGCAAAACCCATGGGAAAACCATAGGAATGGGAAAAGTGAGTTTCGAAGTGGAGTTCCTGCGGAACTGACTGGTTCCAGCGATGCTCAGTTGGTTGCCCACCTATCTAGTTGCATATTTCCAGCAGAATCAGAGATGATCGCACCACGTGGCACACCTCGGATGTGGGACTTGCTGACTTCGTGGTGGACGGATGCGAGGGCGAGGGATGCGATGGCGACTGGGCCCAGGGAGACTCCGCTGATGCAACGTCAACGTCCACGACGTCCACCTGTCAGTGGTTGATGTCACTTGGAGCAACATCAAGCCGAATGAACATCCCAAGGTGCGAAGCAGCGAAACGAGGTGTATAGCATACGTGCATAACACTTTTATAATTGTGACCATAATTACGTATCATTATATGCGTATATCTATCTATATATATATAAATATTACAATATACATATATATATATACATATATCAATATCTATACATATATATATATCAATGATATACTAACTGATACTAACTGTATATACATGGCATCAAATGCCTGCCGCATCTCCCAGTCTTCGGCCTGCAAAACTGGTGGGCTCTGCTGGTTCTGCGCACGTTGGAGCTGCTCCACCGTCAGCGGAGCCACCAGGAGATGAAACGCAGGCAGGTCAAAGCGGTCATAGTGATCTGCACCCTGCGGATGACATCAGACTGGGAAGTAATTGCGTTCATGGTGATATATTATGTTATACTATGCTATGTTATACTATATTATACTATACTATACTATACTATGCTATACTATACTATACTAAACTATACTATGCTATGCTATGCTATGCTTTACTATACTATACTATACTATACTTTACTATACTATACTATACTTTACTATACTATACTATACCATGCTATACTATGCTATACTATACTATACTAAACTATACTATGCTATGCTATACTATACTAAACTATACTATGCTATACTATACTATACTATACTTTACTTTACTATACTATACCATGCTATACTATGCTATGCTATGTTATACTATACTATACCATGCTATACTATGCTTTGCTATGTTATACTACCCTATACTATACCATGCTATACTATGCTTTGCTATGTTATACTATGCTATACTGTACTCTACTATACTATACTATACCATGCTATACTATGCTTTGCTATGTTATACTATACTATACTATGCTATACTATATTATGCTATACTATACTATACCATGCTATACTATACTATACCATGCTATACTATGCTTTGCTATGTGATACTATGCTATACTATACTATACTATACGATACCATGTTATACTATGCTTTGCTATGTTATACTATACTATACTATGCTATACTATACTATACCATGCTATACTATGCTTTGCTACGTTATACTATTCTTTACTGTACTATACTGTACTATACTATACTATACTATGCTTTGCTATGTTATACTATACTATACTATGCTATACTATACTAGACTATACTATGCTATGCTATACTATACTATACTATACCATGCTATACTAGGCTTTGCTATGTTATACTATGCTATACTATACTATACTATGCTATGCTATACTATGCTACACTGTACTATACTATACTATACTATACCATGCTATACTATGCTATACTATGCCTTGCTTTACTATACTATACTATACCATGCTATACTATGCTTTGCTATGTTATACTATACTATACTATGCTTTGCTATGTTATACTATACTATGCTTTGCTATGTTATACCATACTATACTATACTATACTATACTATGCTATACTATACTATACTAGACTATACTATGCTATGCTATGCTATGCTTTACTATACTATACTATACTATACCATGCTATACTATGCTTTGCTATGTTATGCTATGCTATACGGTACTATACTATACTATACTATACTATACTATGCTATGCTATGCTTTGCTATGTTGTACTATACTATACTATACTATGCTATACTATACTATACTAGACTATACTATGCTATGCTATGCTATACTATACTATACATTATATTCTGTTACATCATATTCTACCAGTAGTACCGCACAAGGCGGCGGCGGAAGTTTCAAAAATAGGAAACCTATAGGAGAGGTTGGTTGTTGTGAATCAGGGATGGCAGAGCGAAGCCACTGCTGGAGCGAAAGGTGATTGATCTCTCTCACTATTTCTCTCTGTTTCTCTGACTATCTACCTACCTACCCACCTACCTACCTATCTATCTACCTATGTATCTATCGATCTATCTATCTACCTTCGCAACTTCCAAAAGCGGTCCGACGCTGATGTGTTTTGTACATTTTGACTTCCAAATGTGCTTCGCGCCACAACGGCGTGCACTTTTTCGACATCTGAATTTCCAAAAGTGGTCCGAGAATGGTGTGCTTTGTACATTTTGACTTGGATTCGCGCCACAACGGCGTGCACTTTTTCGACATCTCAACTTCCAAAAGTGGTCCGAACCTGGTGTGTTTTGTACGTTTTGACTTGGAAATGTGCTTCGCGCCACAACAGCGTGCACTTTTTCAACATCTCAACTTCCAAAAGTGATCCAAACCCCTCAGTTTTTAACGCATTTTACTTCCAAATGTGCTTCGCGCCACAACGGCGTGCAACTTTTCATCTCTCATCTCCACAGATGTCTCCGCACCCGCCGCTTTAGCGAGCCTACTTTTCAACCCTCCGGAGCCACAAAACCACGAAAAAACACAGTGTTTCGCGACTTTCCTACCTTTTCGCGCACCTGCATCTTCTTTCTTCTGATCTTTTCTCTTCTGACTCTTCTCCCTGCTGACTGCTTTTTCATCTCTCCATATTGTCGGAAGTTTGACTTCCAAACTTCCTTCGATTACATTATATTATACTTTGTTATTCTAAATTATTTTAACACGATATATATATATGTATATGTATATATATATATATGTATATATGTATATATATATATATGTATATACATATGTATATATATATGTATACATATATATATATATTAGTAGTATGTGTTTGGTACCATATATGGTAAAATGATAGTGTATATCCGCCGACCCCGGCCTTTGCCAAGGCAGGGGCGGCGCCTGGGACCACCGGAGGTGTGGAACTTGGCTCTCGGGTCGCAAGCAAAGGCACACGCCATCAAGGCAACACCTCTGCCAGCTATACATGCCCCAGCCATCTACATGCTCCTGCCGAACTCTTACACCTACATGCCCCTGCCATCTGTTTTTCAGGGGGTTCAAGACTGCCGTTTGCCCGGCCTCAAACCCCCCAAACGCTTCCGCAGGCCTCCAAGGCAACAACTCTTACAGCTACATGCCCCTGCCATCTGTTTTTCAGGGAGTTCAAGACTGCCGTTTGACCGGCCTGAAACCCTCCAAACGCTTCCGCAGGCCTCCAAGGCAACAACCTCCAAACGCTTCCGCAGGCCTCCAAGGCAACAACTCTTACAGCTACATGCCCCTGCCATCTGTTTTTCAGGGAGTTCAAGCCTGCCGTTTGCCAGCCCGCAAAACTCCCCAAATGCTTCCCTGCAGCTCCCATGCCGTTTGCCAGCCCCGGCATTGTCCTTTTATGGTGGTTCAAGCCTGCCGTTTGCCAGCCCGCAAAACTCCCCAAATGCTTCCCTGCAGCTCCCATGCCGTTTGCCAGCCCCGGCATTGTCCTTTTATGGTGGTTCAAGCCTGCCGTTTGCCCGCCCGCAAAACTCCCCAAATGCTTCCCTGCAGCTCCCATGCCGTTTGCCAGCCCCGGCATTGTCCTTTTATGGTGGTTCAAGCCTGCCGTTGCCCGCCCGCAAAACCCCCCAAATGCTTCCCTGCAGCTCCCATGCCGTTTGCCAGCCCCGGCATTGTCCTTTTATGGTGGTTCAAGCCTGCTGTTTGCCAGCCCGCAAAACCCCCCAAATGCTTCCCTGCAGCTCCCATGCCGTTTGCCAGCCCTGGCATTGTCCTTTTATGGTGGTTCAAGCCTGCCGTTTGCCCGCCCGCAAAACTCTCAAATGCTTCCCTGCAGCTCCCATGCCGTTTGCCAGCCCCGGCATTGTCCTTTTATGGTGGTTCAAGCCTGTCGTCTGCCAGCCCGCAAAACCCCCCAAATGCTTCCCTGCAGCTCCCATGCCGTTTGCAAGCCCCGGCATTGTCCTTTTATGGTGGTTCAAGCCTGCCGTTTGCCAGCCCGCAAAACTCCCCAAATGCTTCCCTGCAGCTCCCATGCCGTTTGCCAGCCCCGGCATTGTCCTTTTATGGTGGTTCAAGCCTGCCGTTTGCCAGCCCGCAAAACTCCCCAAATGCTTCCCTGCAGCTCCCATGCCGTTTGCCAGCCCCGGCATTGTCCGTTTATGGTGGTTCAAGATTGCCGTTTGCCAGCCCGCA